CCAAGACTGAAAAGAAAGATCAGGAATGTATTAGACATTTCAAGAAACTTCCAGCATAAAGAGTGAATGAGTATAAAACTGGTTGCTGCTTCACTCAGCTGGTAACAGTAAACAGTAAAGCAAACAGTAAAAACAAAACTTCAAACGCGCTTACAAACTTTACTTCAAATTTTCTTACTTTTCGTGTGTTCCTAAACTTGAGTTTTCAATTTATATTTTGTGGTCAACAACAATCAAAGTCCATTGAAAATGTCTCTTGTTCCACGACTCATTGATACAATGTTCCGAGATCCATTCGATGATATCTATCCAATCATCGCTTACCGTGAACCAGTTATGGATTACCCTAGACGATCATGGGGTCAAGTGAATCGTACTCTTCGTCAATTGGATCAATTGTCTAAGCATCTTAATCAAGAAATGGCAACAATCAAGGATTCCGAGGATAAATTCGAGGTTAATGTTGATTGTGCCCATTTCAAACCAGAAGAGATTAACGTTAAACTGTCTGACAATAATCTGGTTGTTGAAGCAAAACACGAAGAAAGATCTGATGAACATGGTTACATTTCTCGATCATTTAAAAGGCGATATGTTCTTCCAGAGAATGTGGAATTGGAGAAACTTCAGTCAAATTTAGGAGTTGATGGAGTGCTTTCAATCAAGGCTCCAAAGAAGGTTGTCAATGCTGTTACAGGAGAAAAGAAGATTCCAATCACTTTGACCAACCAAGTCCATCAACCAGTTGAAAGCGGTGATAAAGCTCAAACTGAAAAGATGGAAACCAAATAATCAGACAAATTAAGCCAAAGATATGGAATCAAAATGTAATTCTGGTCCAATCTTTAAATTTAGGTTTTTTTAAATTGTTGTATTAAAACATCAGTAGTTTTTTATGCAAATGCATATGTGATATTATTTTATATTGTTAAGATCTCACTTTACTCATCTTATTGTTATTGTGGTCATAATTACAATAAAATTATTTATTTATATTAAAAAATTCTTGTTCTTTTTTATTCTTTCTTTATCGCATTATCATAGTTTTTCTATGATGATATTTTACGGGAATATTTTCCGTGTTTCAAATGTGCTCAAAATGACAGGAAATGTATCAGAGAATCGCATCGAGGGAATCAAATATTTCAATCGATATAAATGTTACCTTTATTATAATAGTCTGGGTCTTGGAGAGAGAAGTAAAAGAGAGGGATGTTGATTTCATTTTTCGATGTGACATCAGGATTTCAAGTTATCGTTTAAAAAACTTCATAGAAATTAAATGTATCAGAGAATTGCCTGAGTATAGTTCCTTGAGTCTTGAAGAGAGAATTGCTTATCTGATTTGCATAAACTTTGTGACAAGTAGACTTTAATACGTTGTTGTGTAACAATCTGATCCATTCGCGTAGTTAGAACTTCGAGTAATTGACTGCTAATTTTTCTGAATGATGGGAAACAAAGGAAGAAGATAACCAGGGAAGATATTCTGAAAGTCTAACAAATTTGAACAAACGAGTAAATAAATTTTGAGCACGATCCATTTCGATGTTAACGGGATCATTGGTTTCATATTTATTACCAAATAACAATATATTAACGTTATTAGAAATCGATGGACCAATTCTTCGACTAAAATCGAGAGGCTCACTTGTTACAAACTGGTCAATCTCTTCTTTGATCAGTGTTTAAATTTTATTCTTTCCCAAACCAACAATCTTATAATCAACATGTAAAAAGCTCATCACAGTGAAACTGTGATGAGCTTTTTATTTCGAAAGTGGTCAAAAGCCAGATTTAAAAAGTCGATAAACTTTTCATCAATTTTCTCAATTATTGGAGTCGGTTTTGGATGCTCGACTTTTTGCTTTTTTGTTTTTTGTAGATCTTCTTCTTCTGGGGTTTGCTCTCTGAGTGGTATGTTTTCCATTGACACTCGCACTTTGAAAGGGCATCGATACGAATGGTCTTGAAGATTAGTTTTTCCTTTGGCTGGGTTCCCACATTTCACGCAATAAAAATTCATTGCTAGAATGTTATTCACAATATGAAGGCGAACAGCACTGTCATTCGTAGGCTTGGAAAAATCACATTTTCCTGCACAAATTGGTGCCTTGCAAACATCATCTTCTCCGTGCGTTTCCATTATTTTTGATTGTTCTTCTCTCAATTCGTCCGATGACAAGGTGTATCCTTCAGGAGTAATGATTTGGAAGTCGTCGCAGATTTTTATCTTCCCTGTTCCCTGCTGTCGTTTTTTATTGTGAGTTTCACAATTTATTGAACGCGTGATATTCTCACTGAAACAAAAAAAAATTATTTAATTCACTGATTATTTAGCAATAGTTTAATACTTACATATAATCATAATTGGTGTTTTTTTTCAAAACTGAATATCCTTTTTTGGTTTTAAAATCTTTAAGGAACTTCAAGCCAAAATCGTAGAGAAGCTGCCAAATGTTATTTTTCTCTTGAAAATTTTTAGGTTTTTGAGTTTCATCCAGGTCATCATTTGTTCCATCCAGGTCACTATGTGCCTCAGAACTCTCAAGATTTGAAGAAAGAGGTGAATCATTTCTGCCAGAAGCCAAAATTAGACTGATTGAAGCACGAAAAACTTGCCCTCTGTCTTGATACGCAGTGGAATTCGCTATTTTTTGTGTTCCACTTGTGCTGGCCAAAGTTTCATCAATTTGATTTGTGGGTATTGCAGTGGCAGATTCACCAAAAACCCTTTCTTTACCAAGCAGTTAAAAAAGTTGAAAGATTCATCGGCGATGAATCAAGATTGACTTCAATATTTTTTGGCAATGGTTTTAATGGAAATTTCTCATTATATTCTTTTACATCTAGATGCTGCGTAATATTTTCGCCAGAATAGCATAAATGCATCAAATTTCTTGGTAAAGATTTCTTCATTTTCTTTTGTTTGGTTCCTGGAATGAATTGCAAGATATTTGTGTTCTTTCCGTTCATGACATTCAACCTCAAGTTGTTTGCAAGCTTGAGAACAACTTGAGGTGGAGAATTAAGACTAATGTTGCATGTTGCAAATAGAACAAAATACTACAGAATGAAGTAAAACTACTTACCGATATCAAGTAGGTAATGCGGCCAGTATTCGCGATTTTCAGTTGTCACCGTATCTGATTTTTCCGGCCAATCAAATCCTCGCACCTTGATTGTGGCCAATTTTTGAGGCACAAGTACATCACATAGATAAATATCGTCCAGTGATTTGAAATAATATTTCTTTCCTCGATACTCAGGTCCTTTGTCAGTAGATAGAAACAGCACAAAAAAACTGATGTGCTAAGTTCGGTTTTTTTCCCCCATGATTAATTGATTGAGATTGAGTTTATTGACAAAACAATTTTAATAAATGGTTAATAAAAACAAATTATTAAAGGATTTTATTTAGATTCTCAAAGCAATAAGAAAAATATAAGAATAATAAAGTGACAACAAGAATCACAACAATACTTTTCGATATATCGTATCCTCATATCGTTCTCAAGCATGAGTTTAGCTTGAGTTAGAGTGTCAGATTTCATTTATTGTGATTTTTTTATTGTTGTGTTTGATTTTTGTTTCTTGTATTGTTGTAACTTGTAAGTTTATCTCAACATTTATTATTTTACATGAGTTTTTACATGTGAAAAGTTAAAATGACTATAACAAAATAGATGAATACTCAACAACCAAGGAAACAATAATAAATTTGACTTCTGGTTCAGAATGGTATTCTGATCAAATAATCAACCCTTATTTTCGTCTGCTTCAGCATCTGCATAAAAGAATATATTGTTGTGACACGTATTGGTATACGCGTTTTAAACCAAAGTTGGTCAAAAAACCAATTATGGAAGTTAAGACAAAAAAGAAAAGAAAAAAATATGAAATGGTTCGCGAGATCGTGACAAAAATTGAATGGCCATCGCCGATTAGTGACTATGATTTGATGTTATTTCCAACTCATCGAGATTTACACTGGATGCTTATTGTTTTGGACAATCGTGACAAAACTGTTCATTATTATGACACAATAAAAAGCGATAATCCGCCAATACTTGAAGACTATAAAGTTATGATTAAACATTGTCACCCGGAATTCGCGTTGAAGTTTATGAACCACACAAATATCCCTCAACAAAGTGACCAAGACAGCTGTGGCCCATTTGTATGTAATTACGGGGCAATGATTGTTTTTCATTATTTGACTGGTTTGCCAGAATTCGATATCCAGCATCACAAAACTTTTAATAAGGCAAGTTTTACCGATATTTTTCAGCATTTTATCTCTCCCTCAAAGCGTTCTCAAGCTTGAGAAGAACTTGTGGTTGAATGTTAATTTGAAAATTTTTTTGTTCATCATTGCAGTCACAAATAAAAACAATGCCAAAGCGACAAAGAGAGTCTTGAATAACAAAATCAATCACACAATCGGATGTAGTTACGAATTATCAACCGGAATCGGATGCTGAGAAAAGTTCGGATAACGTCACGAGCAGAACTTCACGATATAAAGCTCTCGTGAAGCGTAAACGCGAAGAACACGCCAAAGAAACAGCTAAACGACCAAAGTAAGTATGAATTGGATAAAAATCTGAACTAAAACTGAAATCTGAATTATATTGAAATTTGTATCTAGGTTGGAAATAGCAAATGAGAAGATAGACAAAAGTGATCTTTCGCTTCAGGAGCAGCAAGAAAACACCGTCAATTAAACAATTGAATCTGCTGAAGTTCCGAGCGAAATTGTTGACCAGACCGTTGTAGATAACAATCAAGCAAATAATAGTCAGAATTCGTAAGTTTTAATTTGTGATAAAGTTAGCCAATAATACTAATAAATGTTTCTTTCTTATTTTCAGTGAAAAAAGCCATCAACCGCTTGAGGTGCCTGAATTTCAAAATGCAAATGTGGCAGAAAATCAGCAAAGTGCTGAAACGAATACAGATAATGATGCAGTTCCGAGCGAAATCGTTGACGAGGCCGTTGTGGATAACAAGCAAAAAATTGCTAGTCAGAATTTGTAAGTTTAAATTTGTGATCAAGTTTGTCAATAATACTAATAAATGTTTCTTTCTTTTTTCAGTACATTACACTATCAATGCCCTTACCCTCCTTGCAAATATATTGTACTAGCCCGACTGAAATCACGGATGAATGCTCATTTGAATCCGTTACCCAAAAAGATGAAAACTGGACAAATCGTCATTAAACCACCACGCTGCAAGCACAGAGCAAAACTTGAAACACCAACCTCGGATGGAAAGTACTGGAACAACAAAAGACCTTTCCTAGAAATTCTTGTACCCATTAAAAATGATCAGAGTGAATCTGATGATTTTGATGGAAAATAATTACAAATTATCAATCAAAATATTCGGAAAAAATACTTTGACAGTACTGTCAAAGTAATGTCAAGAACAAATTGTGCATCTCAGGATATCGACTCCCCAATTGATTTCTGAAGCTATTGATTAATAATGAAAAAGTTGAAATAACAGTTTTTTTCATTTATTAGATGATTGTATAGCTAAATTAAATCAAAATGATAAAAATATTCAAATTGATTAGTAACGATAATCTATTAATGGCCAATAATGATACTTACTCTTCAATACTTATAGCAATAAGAGCAGTTCAATTTTCATACAGAATTTTTGTGATCAAAATTTTTCATGAAGTAATATAATTGAATAAAACTTTCTAAATATGCTATTTAGAACATTTTTAATCGAATGTATATTATTTAATTGCTGAAAAAACTTTATTAACTATGTTTATCCGATCATTTTTACAGTTTTCCTGATTCCTCGTATTGACCGCATTAATTTCAATAACACGAGGTTTGCGGATAAAAAATGTTGTTCTGTAGATTAAAAAGTTAACCATGTTTAAAGCTATTTTTTCAATTTATTTTCAATAGAAAAACAAATAACCATGATTAAATTGATTATAAAAAATGATAAAAATGTTCAAATTGATTAGTAACGATAATCTATTCTCTCCATCGCTATTCTCACTATTCTCTCCATCGCTATTGTAACAGAATTTTCTTTATGATGCAATGTTTACTTGAAATTTTCTGTAACTTCCTGGCTGTGTGTCTGTTTTGTTTTTAACTATGGATAATCAACCCAAAAATCAGCTCGATAATCGCCCTGATAATCAGCCCAACAATGTAATCATTTACAATAACGTGAAAGAAACTATCGTTGCAATATTCCCGATATGTTGGAACTTGTAAATGAAAAAACTTACAACAAACATTGCAAATTATTTTGCAAGCATCCTGTCGTAATCATCGATAATGAAATACCTTCCGATGTTTTAGAGTACTTCACAAATCATGTTTTTAATAGTGTTCCATCGACTGCAGTCGTGGCAACTGGACTTCAGTTATATGATTGTAATCACTCGGGCTTCGCACTCGTGTTTAAATCATATAACTTCTCGATGAAGTGGTTTAACTATCACTTAAAGCTATTTTTCAATTTATTTTCAATCTAAAAACAAATAATCAATTATTGATCAATATTTGATTGCTGAAAAAACTTTATTAACTACAGTAAATCCACGCTTTTTCGATATTTTTAAAGATACGCCATCTTCTGTTAATTAATTTATTCAAAACCGACTTTACTCCAACAGTTTACAATAGTATCCTTGGAAACAAGCTTCCAAGCAATGTCAATCATTTTAATTGCTTCAAACATATTAATTTTTTTGAGTGTTTCATTTATACCGACATCTTCATCAATATCAACAATTAGTCTATTATTTAGAAGATCGGCGAAGTTATCTTTAAAGCATTTGATTATTCCAGCATCCATTGGCTGTGTTCGTGGTGTAGTATTGGCAGGTAAGAATTTAATTTTTAAGTTACTCAAATTATTAGAAATGATGTGACCTTTGAAATTATCCAAAAAAATTAATGCCTTTTCATTGTTTTCTTTCATTTCCTCATTCAGTTCGACGAGCCATTGATTGAAAATATCTTGTGTCATCCAAGCTGATTTGTTACCAAGGTAATCCAACTCAACATCATCTAAATTTTGATTTTGAAAACATCTTGGTTTTTTACTTTTCCCTATCACCAATGGACGAACTTTAATTCCTGTCATGGAAGTTCCAAGTAAAACTGTAACTCTGGATTTATCATCTTTATGACCAATTGTGTTAACATTTTCACCCTTTGGACAAATTGTTTTTTTCCTTAGACTTTTTATAAATACACCAGTTTCATCAAAGTTATAAATTTGACTAGGTAAATAATCTTTAGTTATTTCTGCTATTTCAGATTTCCAATTGATAACAATATTTTCATCTATTGACTTTGCTTCACCATTAATTTTCCTAAAAACCAACTTGTTTCTCTTAAGCATCTTTGATACCCATGATGAACTTGCTTTAAAGTTAATTATTCCATATTCAGTTGCTTTTTTTCTTGCTCTTGCTGACACCAAAGGTCCATTAACTGGAATTGATTTTAAATTACATTTGTTTACAAAATTAACAGCATCTCTTTCAATAGGTGAATTGACCTTATCAAGTCGACATTTCTTTGGACCTGCAGTACTGATGGCGGAGATGATTTCTTCTTGTCTTTTGATGATATAACTTACTGATGACTGGGTAATTCGATGTTTTTTAGCAACATTAACTTGAGAATCAACTTTACATTCATTAATAATAGATATTTTTTCCTCTAAAGACAATCTAGCTAAACGTTTAATAGTCATACTGATAGACAAAAGTAGAACATTTTAAGTTCGACAACGACAATGTGTTTTGAAAAACAGTAGATGGCGTATCTTCAAAAATATCGAAAAAGCGTGGATTTACTGTATGTTTATAATAGATCAATAAATGTACAGATGAAAACACATCTGAAAAAACAGATTTAGTACACAAATTAGATTAAAACTAAACAACTGGATTTGATGCTCTGACAGCTGTGATATGATTGCGAACTACTTCGAACGCTTCAGCCGAATATGTTTGATGGACAAGCGCTTCTAAAAATTTTTTCCAATTGGTGTTTTTATGGTCTGTAGCAAATTACCATGGCGCAAGTCTTCTACTAAATCAAAAACTGCTCCATAATAGGTGTGGTCAGAAGCATTGGGTTTTGGCAGCTTGATGTCTCCTTTATATTCAAAATTTCTAGATGTGCACAAATAATCAATTTCGTATCCTCGATCGACGTCCTTGAAATTCGCGGGAAGCAAACCACTGGCTAGCAGCAAATAACACAAAACCGTTTGCGGTTTGGTTGCTCTAGGTTTTTTGAGGTTGACTCCTCTACCATAATATAAATTTTTTATATTAAAATCACCAGCTAAAACAATGCCATCGACGGCTCTTTTTCTATTGTTTGCTGCATCCCTCCCACCAGCCTGGAGTCCTATAGCAGCACCAAAAGCAGCGAATAAATAATAAGCTTTGTCAGGTACATTCTTGCATAATTGATGGCAATTTATGATGGCGATTCTTTTTTTCCGTGCCTCACTATAGCGACCAGAAGATCACCACGTCCTGTATCGAAGGTATCGATATAACCAGGGAAGAATTGCCTTTTAAAGCAGGTCAGGATGTTTCCAACATTTCTATATTTCCAGGCAGCACGGTTCTTGCGTGAGCGGTTAGCTGCTTCGTCCATTTTTGCAGCATACCCTTGGTCCATTTGCACTTGAATAGATTTTGGTATTCCCTGTGTACAAACAACACATTTTACGTCAGGATGCTTTTTTTCAAGGTATTTAGATGTTTTCCACAACAGGTCTTGCTGTTTGTAGAGATTATACTGTGAAAAACAGTAACTCATTTTTACTCAAAGAAAATAATAAAACTAAACTAATTAACAGTTTAAACCAATTTGAAACTTTACGGCGAACGGATTCTATTTAGAAAAAAAATTGCGCTTCGAAAGCTGTGTTGTCATAGAAACACGTAGTCAATGACAACATAATAATGTTACACTATATTCTTTGTTGTTGAAAAAATTGAATCTCAGTTTAATTATTTTTTTCAAAACATTTTGTTTAATCATTTATGATAATAGTTATCATGGCGTCTATGCCATTTGCTGTGCCTAAACATGGAGAAAAACGAAAACGAAAGTGTGAATGTAAAACGCATCCATATGCATTGGTAAGTTTGTTTATATTTTTTGTAGCGTCTTAACGCGTTTTTTTCATAACATCTCATTTATACATTTCTACCTTTTTATTCCAGGCCCAAAAATACATTGCTAGACTCAAAAAAAAGCACCCGGAGCCGAATTTTAGCCGTGTTAATTCACTCAAATTCCACAGGCTATTGGACATCGTTGTCGAAAAGTATGGCTTCCCTAGATGTGATTGTTTCCACACGGATTGGTTTTATCTCGATTGATTTCATCACATTGAGGAAGAAATTGAATTTTACTCATTTTACATTTTCCATAGTGAACTAATGCAGCATCTAATTTCATCATTAGATCAAATCTTCACCTTCGCGTGATTATTATTCTGATTATTATTCATGTCAACATGACATTTTATCACATCACAAACATGCTAAAATAAAAAAATAAACATTTGACTTTTAATTCATCATACAGAGACTTAATTACAATAAAATTTGTCCAATATAGCGGCTTTGTGCAGTAAATAGTAATTATCACTAAGCAATGTTGTTTCTTTCATGATTTTGAAGATTGAAATATGTATAGATCATGTAATTGCAATTATTAATATTAAAATTATGTAAAGATTGCTGTATAGATATGTGTGTAGTCGTGCAGACGTTTGTAGCGGCCTAGATGTCTACCAACTAACACAGCATATTAGTAAATTAATGGGCATCTCTTCTGACTTGGCTGGCTAATTGTTTTAGCTAATTAATTTACTATTTTGTTAATAAATTCGTTCCTGGACACACCGAACCATGCCGATCTCACAGTTAAGTGCTGAACAAATGGATTTCTTGAGAAAATTTACGGAAAAACTGGTGATTGCTACTGATAATGATTATCTATTCATCGACACACCAAGACCATCAACAAGTGGTAATAACAGAGGAGCATACAGAAAAGCAACTTTTCCTGCATTACAGCGAGATCAAAACGCTAACTTAAGTCAAGCTGAAAGAGACGAATGGAGGAAGAAGACAGCAGAAGGAAGAGCAAAACTTAAAATAAAAAGAGAAGAACAAGATGCCTATGGTCAGAACAATTGGGTTGTTGAAGGTAGGACCTTAGCTGATGGTTTAAATCTGCGACAACCTTCACCGTTCAGATCCGACAGGTCTCCGCCGAGTTTGAGTGACGATTGTGTAGTGGCCTTAGTTTTTTTTCATTCTGGATTTCTCAGGTAACGCAGCTACACTATCCAACCATAACATTTTGAATTTTCAGAAAAATTCAACCATTATTTTACAAGATAAAAGAAAAACCCAAAAGTCACATAATTTATCCACACAGGTTAGCAGGATAAAATACGTTCAGAGATAACTGATTTGGATTTGAAAACAGATCAGATTTCGCTGATAGAGTAAGAATGCCATTTCTTTATGAAGATGTAAAGTAGTCAAAACAACGTATCTTATACCTTTCAGTCCTGGTAAAAGGAACTGCCCCGGTGAAGGTTTAGCCAATGTTGAGATATTTTTATATTTAGTTTGTATGGTACAAAGATATCGTATCAAAGTCGGACCATGAACTTAATTACCTTTTGAAGCAGTTTTCGGAATTTCAAGACGTCCAGATAATCTTGCAGCTTTCATTTTCGAGAAAATAGTTCATTGAGATCTAATATGGTCAAGATTAGTAGCTCATATGCTTGGTATTGTTAAGTGATATGGCAAATGGACTCGAATGATCCCTCGGTGCATTTTTTTGACTCTTTTCATTATTCTCATTATTTTCATTAAAGTTATTTCTTTCATGCAATGAAGCTCTTAGATCTATTTCATCAATGAAATGAATAACCCAAACTTATTCGTTATTTTTGAGGCAATCTGACCAATTGATCCAAGTCTTGTGGCGCAAGCAAACTAGATAGAGCGTTAGGCCAACGCATAAATTTAACACGCACAATTGCTTGCCTCTTTGCGTTTGACACAATAAATTTCACTCAAGCAATGTCTGCTTATCTAATACAGCTCATGAATTATGTTTGATTTTCAAATCAATTACTAGCTCAGTGGTTAAAGAGTTAGTCAAGTTTGATGGACAATTTGCGAGGAGCGAGTCAAGGTGGGGTAATCTTTATGTTACTAGAAATTTAGATGGACGTGTAACGCGCATACATTTATAAACCCATAACTGGCATCAAATCTGGTAATTAAGTTTTACGCTCGGGCTTACAGCATCCTTACTTGGACAAATTGAGTATTAACTGATAATCAGACAGTTATTAGGTATCAATTATCGGCCATCGCAAGCAGGGTCGAGTTTCAGCTCATTCAAAGATTTGGTCCTGAATATTATTCTTAAATTCCAATCTTCTAATGTACTTTTAGGTTCCATCGATTTTAAGTACTTGAATTTTGTGCACGATAACTTAAAAACCTAAATGAAAAATGAAATCAACATCTCTCTCTTTTACTTCTCTATTCAAGACCCAGACTGAAATATTTGATTGACTCGCTGAGATTCTTTGATACATTTCCTGTCATTTTGAACGCTTTGAAATAACGAAAAATATTATCGTTACTCTCTTATTAATATGCTACTGCATAATATATCATCATACGAAAACTACGCCAAAGTGGGCAAGAAAGTATAAGTTAATGAAAAAGAACAAGAATTTTTTACATATAAATAAATAATTTTATTGTAATTGTGATCATAATTACAATAAGATGAGTAAAGTGAGATCTTAACAACATGACAGAGTATCACATATGAATTCGCATAGTTTACAACAATTTTAAAAACCTAAATTTAAAGATTGGACCAGAATTAAATTTTGATTCCATATCTTTGGCTTAATTTGTCTGATTATTTGGTTTCCATCTTTTCAGTTTGTGCTTTATCACCGCTTTCAACTGGTTGATGGACTTGGTTGGTCAAAGTGATTGGAATCTTCTTTTCTCCTGTAACAGCATTGACAACCTTCTTTGGAGCCTTGATTGAAAGTACACCATCAACTCCTAAGTTTGACTGAAGTTTCTCCAATTCCACATTCTCTGGAAGAACATATCGCCTTTTAAATGATCGAGAAATGTAACCATGTTCATCAGATCTTTCTTCGTGTTTTGCTTCAACAACCAGATTATTGTCAGACAGTTTAACGTTTATCTCTTCTGGTTTGAAATGGGCACAATCAACATTAACCTCGAATTTATCCTCGGAATCCTTGATTGTAGCCATTTCTTGATTAAGATGCTTAGACAATTGATCCAATTGACGAAGAGTACGATTCATTTGACCCCATGATCGTCTAGGGTAATCCATAACTGGTTCACGATAAGCGATGATTGGATGGATATCATCGAATGGATCTCGGAACATTGTATCAATGAGTCGTGGAACAAGAGACATTTTAATAGACTTTGATTGTTGTTGAACACAAAATATAAATTGAAAACACAAGTTTAGGAACACAGGAAAAGTAAGAAAGTTTGAAACTGAGTTTGTAAGTGCGTTTGAAGTTTTGTATTACTGTATTGTTTGCTTTACTGTTTACTGTTACCAGCTGAGTGAAGCAAGCAACCAGTTTTATACTCACTCACTTTTTATGCTAGAAGTTTCTCGAGCTCTCAAGGATTCTCTTTCAATTTCACTGCGTCTTTTGTTCGAATTAAATAACAACCTTTATCTAACCCGTCAATAATATAGGGTGGCCGTTATGATGAATTGAATTAGTGACTGATGACATAAATCATGATCCAGAAGAAACTCCAGACTTGAAAGAAAATTCAGGAATGTATTTGACATTTCTAGAGACTTCCAGTAATGTGAGTAAGTGAGTATAAAACTGGTTGCTGCTTCACTCAGCTGGTAACAGTAAACAGTCAAGCAAACAGTAAGACAAGAACTTCAAACGCGCTTTCAAACTCAATTTCAAACTTTCTTACTTTTCCTGTGTTCCTAAACTTTTGTTTTCAATTTATTTTTTGTGTCCAACAACAATCAAAGTCCATTGAAAATGTCTCTTGTTCCACGACTCATTGATACAATGTTCCGAGATCCATTCGATGATATCTATCCAATCATCGCTTACCGTGAACCAGTTATGGATTACCCTAGACGATCATGGGGTCAAATGAATCGTGCTCTTCGTCAATTAGATCAATTGTCTAAGCATCTTAATCAAGAAATGGCAACAATCAAGGATTCCGAGGATAAATTCGAGGTTAATGTTGATTGTGCCCATTTCAAACCAGAAGAGATAAACGTTAAACTGTCTGACAATAATCTGGTTGTCGAAGCAAAACACGAAGAAAGATCTGATGAACATGGTTACATTTCTCGATCATTTAAAAGGCGATATGTTCTTCCAGAGAATGTGGAATTGGAGAAACTTCAGTCCAATTTAGGAGTTGATGGTGTACTTTCAATCAAGGCTCCAAAGAAGGTTGTCAATGCTGTTACAGGAGAAAAGAAGATTCCAATCACTTTGACCAACCAAGTCCATCAACCAGTTGAAAGTGGTGATAAAGCTCAAACTGAAAAGATGGAAACCAAATAAACAAACAAATTAAGCCAAAGATATGGAATCAAAATCAAATTCTGGTCCAATCTCTAAATTTAGGTTTTTTAAATTGTTGTAAACTATGCAAATTCGTATGTGATACTCTGCCATATGTAAAGATCTCACTTTACTTATCTTATTGTAATTGTGGTCATAATTACAATAAAATTATTTATTTATATTTATAAAGTTCTTGTTCGTTTTGTTATTTCACTCTCTCGATCGCCTTATCATAGTTTCCCATTGATGGTATTTAAAATAACATAATTGGACAAAGGCAATATTCTTCGTTATTTGCAACGCTCAATATGACATGAATGGTATCTCAGAATCGTAACGAGCGAATCAAATATGTCAGTCAATAAAAATTTTACTAAAAATTTCTATTAGAGCTACCTGAGTCTTTAAGGGAGAAATACTGATCTGATTCGCATAAAACTTTCTGATAAGTATGATTGAGGCTTTTTTGTGCAACTCTCTGAGTTAAAACTTGTGGCAATTTATCTGTGAAACTGAAGAATGTCATTAAAACTTACCATTCAATGGGCCACAGAATGATGAAGAAATGATTAAGTTCGGTAATTTCATTAAATTTATCTTTGCATCACATTCGAACAGTTGAATTTACCATTTTAAATCGTTTAAATAACAATGCATTTTATTATAAAAATTACTATTAGTGCAGTTTGGACTCTTGATCAATCGGATATCAAATCCTGAGTGCAAATTTAAAATAAGCAGTGTAATTGTTCATAATGAATGTAATGGTAAAAATACAAAATGGAGATTAACGAAAAAAGTTTTGTGCTAACAAGAATGTAACAAGATTTTGTATTATCTGTAGCTTTTAAGAAAGGTTCAGTTAATAAGTTGATTCAATGTTTCTAGATAAGTGAGTGGTGAGTGAGAAACGATAGCAGTCTTTCATGATGAGCAAATTTTGAATAGCATTGCAATGCATTGAATAGTGAACCTTTAATTTAAAAGATTAACTGAATGATTGGCTTTGATTGAATAAGCTCATTTTATTTTGTGCGATGAAATATCAGAGTTATGAATACATACAGATGGAATAGTCAGATTAGCTATTTAACAAATACATGAGGTAAAAGCAGGCAAAATTTACCGAAGCAAAACAAATTGATTTTAGATCTTGATATATTCAATATTTAGAAGACGAGGAAAAATACCAGATAATCAGTTGCATCAATATCATTTGCGAATGAGTACTTAGAAGTACTTAATAACCAATTTTTAGTCTCATTGGGTAATTTTTTCAAAAATGAAAAGCGGAAGGTTAGCTGGTCGTCTTGAAATTCCGAAAACTGCTTCAAAAGATATTTCAGTTCCTGGTTCGACTTTGATACGATATCTTTGTACCATACAAACTAAATATAAAAATAATTCCACGTAGGCTAAACCTTCACCTGGACAGTTCCTTTTACCGGCACTGAAAGGTATGAGATAAGGTGGTTTCACTGCTTTAGTGCCATCTTCAGTAAGGTAACGAGTTGGATCAAATTTATCTGGATTAACCCATAATTTAGGATCATGATTAACTGACCAGAAATTGAACATCACCAACGTATCTTTAGGTATGAAGTGATTACCAATTTTGGTATCTTCAGATGCTCTTCTGAGTAAATTATTTGCAATGATTGATTCAATCCGCTGAACTTCATGAATAAATGCCATTGTAAATGGCATTCTTGCTCTATCAGCAAAATCTGGTCTGTTTTCAAATCCAATGACATCAGCTATCTCTGAACGTATTTTGTCTTGATATTCTGGATATTTTACAAGGTATAATATTGCCCATTCCATTGTACTGTGTACAGTCTCTGAACCAGCACCAAAAAATGCACCTGCATTTCGCTTCGCTGTATCAAGGGTGAAAGTATCTTCAGGAATGTTCTGTTTCTCTCTTCTTTTTCTCTCCTCCAGGTAACCATCGATGTAATCGACGACTTCATGATTTTCATTGTAATTTTCTCGGTGTCTGTCAACTTCATCTTGAATGAATTTCTCGATAGCTTGGGCATTTTTTTGTATGAATTGTACATCAAACTTACCAAGCAAGAAAAATACTTTAGTTAACCAAGGAAGAAATGCTAAGACTCCAGCAAATTTGAACAAACTAGTGAAACCCATTTGAGCTCGGTCCATTGCGATTTTAGCAGGATCATTGTAATCATATTTATGACCAAATAACAATATGGAAATATTATTAGAAATCGATGGATAAATTTTTTCACTAAAATCAACAGGTTCACCGCCAGTATCTAAAGTTGCTAGAAATTGATCAATTTCTTCTTTAATCAGAGTTTCAATTTTACTCTTTCCCAAACCAACATTACGTAAAATGTGTAATGATAAACGTTTGTGTTGACGCCAAGGTTCCCCTGACATTTCAGAAAATCCTCGGTTATCGCCACCACCAGGAATGAGTGTTTCATATGGTCGAGCAAGTAGGGCATCATTGGAAGTAGCATCTTTCAGATGAGGCCAATCACAAACCAAGACCACATCGAAATCACCCAATTTTAAACAATAAACTGGTCCATACTTTTTTGACAATTGGTCAAACTGAAGGTAAACATGGTCTTTGAGAAAGGGCAAATAACCAACAATGGGAAGACCCCAAGGACCAGGCGGTAATGAACGAATCCTTTTTATTGTGTAAAACAAATACTTTACCAACCAGAAGAGGACAACTCCAATTAATACGTTTAGTAGAGGTTGAGGCAATTGAAAACTAAACAGTGAAAACATAACTTGTTAATAATTGTGAAAACTGAAAGCTATTGATTATAATTAATTTAGCTTAACACAAATTAAACTGCTATTTAGACTGAGTTTCTAATAGCAGATGAAAAGTAAGTAAACATTGTAATGAAAGGAGAGACTAAAGTGAATGGTTTATATATGAAAACAAGTCAATTTATCTATTAATAGTAATCTAATATATTATAATATTACGGTGCTCAAAGTAACTATCATCTCATCTCATTCACTCAAGCCCATGTACTCGATCTTGTAAAGATAAATAGGTGTTTCTCTTAGCTTCAATCAGCCCCTAATGCACTAGTATTATCTATCTGGTATCCCCTAAAAAAGTCAGATAATGCAAGTAAAATTCTGATTTCATCATGTTATTCAACCATCTACAACATAATCTCAATATTATCGGAGGCACGATTGTTTATAACATAGCAATGCTTAGGTGCATTCATTTGTTAATCAATATCTGGACTTCAACCCAAACTGTTGACTGAAGATAATAGACTAAAGTAGAGTCTCGTGCTATTATTAATTGGATATCATATTGGATATTAAGATAATTGGATATAGTCTGAAAAATTATGATATATTTGGACATGAAAATCGATAAATTTTGATCAAATCAAATTATTTATCTTCAGCTTCAATACAACGCTCTATTTTGGTACCAGTTCTGGACCAGTCACAGGATTTTGGGTAACTAATCTTAAAGAACGTCAATGAAATCCGTTTCTCGAGCAAGTGGTCTTTCCTTTCAATGAAAGTTTCAAATTTTTAGATGATTAGCGATCCATAGGTGTGAGACTGAATGGATTCAAGGATTCAGTTAATCATTATTCATTCATTATTTGATATCCTTTATGAACCCCCAAATTTTGAAATGTTAGACCAATATTGACAATAAACTCTAGAAAATTAGATGTTGACTCTTACTCAATGTATTGAACCACGAATCTTGGCCCACGATTAGATTTAATCATATTTCAAACAATTAGGTGAATAACAGCTTTAGTTTAACCCATAATCATTACCTTACGTACCAAAGCACAACATGATTATGAAATACAAATACCATTAAGTATTAACTGCATATATTTAAATTACAAATAAAGAGTTTTCGTTAATGATAATTCAGATATCGATTATAGCGCGCAACATTGTATCTTGGCAGAGTTTCCCTGTAAAGTTATCTTGTTTACTTGACATCAAGATGAATTAGTCTAATCCAATTGAAGGTAAAAGTCCAACTAATAATGAAAGTGTAATTGTACATTATGAAGCGAAATGGATTGAAAATTAATGTAATGGTAAAATACAAAATAAAGATTTACGGTAAAGAGTTGTAGACTAACAAGATAGCAATATTCTGTATGATCTCCATAGATTGTGCGAAAGATTCAGTCCTTAACGCGGAAAGACAAAAAAGTGAAAAATTCTGGAGATCCTCATTAACACATGTAAAATCTCGATCAATTGAATCATCCATGTTTCCCAACAATTTGCAAATTTAATACATGTATTTCGGGTGATTTAAAGGGTGTTGCGTTAAAGGAATTACAATCATCTTATTTCGATTATACAAAATGTTATTAGAAATGAAAAAAATGGAAAAGTTCAATGAAAATCTTAACCTTTACCACTGGTTAAGCAGTTTCTTCTTGAACAACTTTTTAATTATTGTTGAATAAGATAATTGCTAGTTCTTTCACGCAACCCCTTAACAACTGGAAATTACGAAAATACAATTGTTCTCGTTTGTTTAGAACCAACTTTCATATGAACAAAACCAGAATTCAAAAGAGTAAAACCGGCTGACTGTAAAGTCACAGAGTTTATTGACGGGTTAGCTAAAGGTTATCATTGAATTCAAACAAAAACCGCAATGAAATTTCAGGAACATACTTGAGAGATCGAGAAACTTCCAGCATAAAAAGTGAGTGAGTATAAAACTGGTTGCTGCTTCACTCATCTGGCAACAGTAAACAGTCAAGCAAACAGTAACAACAAAACTTCAAACGCGCTTACAAACTTAATTTCAAACTTTCTTACTTTTCCTGTGAACCTAATCTTGTGCTTTCAATATATATTTTGTGTTCAACAACAATCGAAATCTATTAAAATGTCTCTTGTTCCACGACTCATTGATACAATGTTCCGAGATTCATTCGATGAGATCTATCCAATCATCGCTTACCGTGAACCAGTTATGGATTACCCTAGACGATCATGGGGTCAAATGAATCGTGCTCTTCGTCAATTAGACCAATTGTCTAAGCATCTTAATCAAGAAATGGCAACAATCAAGGATTCCGAGGATAAATTCGAGGTTAATGTTGATTGTGCTCATTTCAAACCAGAAGAGATTAACGTTAAACTGTCTGACAATAATCTGGTTGTCGAAGCTAAACACGAAGAAAGATCTGATGAACATGGATACATTTCTCGATCATTTAAGAGGCGATATGTTCTTCCAGAGAATGTGGAATTCGATAAACTTCAGTCCAATTTAGGAGTTGATGGTGTACTTTCAATCAAGGCTCCAAAGAAGGTTGTCAATGCTGTTACAGGAGAAAAGAAGATTCCAATCACTTTGACCAACCAAGTCCATCAACCAGTTGAAAGTGGTGATAAAGCTCAAACTGAAAAGATGGAAACCAAATAAACAAATTAAGCCAAAGATATAGAATCGAAATTAAATTCTGGTCCAATCTCTAAATTTAGGTTTTTTAAATTGTAGTATTAAATCATGAGCTTTTTTATGAAAATGCATATGTGATACTCTCTTATGTTGTAAAAATCTCGCTCTGTAAAGATCTCTATTGTATCTAATTGCAATGTATTTATGATTGCAATAAAATTATTTATTTAAGTAATCATTCTTGTTCTTTTGCTATTCATTGACACTAATATTATCAAGTTCCATTCAAAGAGAAAATCAAATGGAGTAATTGAACTTTAACGCAATCGACTCACGAATTCATTTGAGTCAGCTCAACATTCATTCAACTTTTATTCAAGTAATTTATTTATGCCTAACGATTCGATACTTATTTCAACTCTACTTCATTACTCTACTTAATCTATGATATTTTTCATGAGATGAACTGACGCAAAAATTGCTATTTTTTAATTAAAATGCATACTATTAGTAGTATTAAAAGTTAGTTCATTCAAACCATAGTCACATAGTTCTTCATGATGTCAGAAGAATAATGAGTTTACTAAAAAATTAGAAAATAAAGTAATTCAATCAAAATTAACATCTTAATAAATTCCATCATTTGCATGGATCAATAATAGAGTAATAGCAACCGCAGTGATACATGAGATTCGAGGAAAATTAAGCTTAATTTTCAAATTTTTGATACAAAGAGATCAAATCAAATAGAAGATAACAAATTATGATTTATTATGGAACGATAGAATGTTAATTTAAAATAATCGAGTCAAATTTTCGGATAATATTGTGCAAAAAAGAAATCTTAGTAGAGGTCACTTTCGTTATTTGATCTGATAGGCCAAAAGAGCAAGATACATTGAATACAAAGGGAAAACAATTAACGGTAACCTTTCAACCGCTTTGTCTGCTCTTTTCTCAGCTCTCTGGTCATTAGTTTGCAAAATACCGGCTAAGGTTGATTCTCGTTCTTATATTACTGGAACTTTCTCAGAACAGGATTTATTATCAACCGTAAACTAATAAAATTATTGCGCATACTATTTAAGGTTATACTTCGTTGAAAGTCACTGAAAATCAATACTGGAAAACAACTGAAAGTTCATGAATGCATCTGACGTTTCTAGAAGCTTCCAGTAAAAGGAGTGAGTAAGTATAAAGCAAGTTGAAGCTCCACACAGCTGGTAACAGTAAACAGTAAACAGTGAAGCTGTAATAACACAATATTGAAACTCGCTAATACAAAGCTTACTTCAAATTAACGGTTTGATCTTAATTCAGTTTTTTTTTGATTTCTAAGTTTAATCAAGTCAAAAAGTCCAATACTCGTTATCAAGCTAATTCGAACTGTTACTCTCCTGTTTCCATTTTCTCGTACTGTTAAATTGTGTTGTGTTTAATCGTAATTAATTGAACAAATATGTCTTTGGTTCCACTTATTCTTGAATCAATGCTAAATGATCAATCAGATCATTACTATCCAATCATCGCTTACCGTGAACCAGTTATGGATTACCCTAGAAGATCATGGGGTCAAATGAATCGTGCTCTTCGTCAATTGGACCAATTGTCTAAGCATCTCAATCAAGAAATGACAACAATCAACGATTCCGAAGATAAATTCGAGGTTAATGTTGATTGTGCCCATTTCAAACCAGAGGAGATAAACGTTAAATTGGCCGACAATCATCTGGTAGTTGAAGCAAGACATGAAGAAAGATCTGATGAACATGGTTTCATCTCACGAGCATTCAAGAGGAGATATATCTTACCAGAAAATGTAGAAATTGAGAAAATCGAGTCAAGCTTAGGAGTTGATGGTGTTCTTAAGATCAAAGCTCCAAAGAAGGTTGTCAATGCTGTTACAGGAGAAAAGAAGATTCCAATTACATTGACCAACCAAGTCCATCAACCAGTTGAAAGTGGTGATAAAGCTCAAACTGAAAAGATGGAAACCAAATAATAAACTCAGCCAAAGATATGGTTTTACCAATTGTATTGGTTAATGCACATCTCTTAATGCAAATCTCATCATTTGTGTTCCAAAGTCAATCAAAATTACATAGCTTATGTAACACCTGTTCATCCCACCATTCACTGAACCCACCTTCTAAATATTGTATCGATTTCTTCCTATGTTTATCTGTGATTAATAAATAATTTTTTTTAAGAAAAAACATTTTTCTCACTTTATTCCATCTCGTAGTCTGCTCCAAGAAAATATCGAAGGTAAATTAAGACGTTAATCAAAAGTAAAGCTCAATTTGATTTTTCATGTAAGAAAGGTGATAGAAAGTGGATGTTAGAAACAGAATGATGAAAAGACATGATCACAATAATCCAGAAAATTTCAAGGTAACAGAATGAAGTGAAGCATATCATGAATCAATGGTAAAGTTCAAAATAATATTACCTCTTATAGCGCTTTCAGTAAGGTTTGATCAAGCTATAAAATTAATTTTTAAAATTACTGTAAGTTAAAATTAAATAGCGCGCTTTAAAGATTTAAAAGTTGATCAACTGTATTCCCTAGCCATATTAATAGCCAAAAACATAAAACTCCGTTTTCATCATTTCACCAAAATATTAAAACCCGAAATTATAATTCTAAAATCTATCTTAATTGTAATTTAAGCTTTCCGAGGCTGTGATATTCATTACAGTAAGCTTATTACACGAGAATGCTCTCTTATAAATACAGTAACAGTTTTCTGGTTATCTCTTTGAGGATATTATAAATAATTTTATCCCTGAATAAATTCTTGAACATTATATTAATAATAATTATAATAACTTTCATAAAAATCAGTTTTTACCAAAAAACAAATAAATATCAATTTACCGTTTGATGTACAAAATTGGCGGCGTGTTTAACCAGAATGGCAATTCATGTTTCTATGACAACCATCAGTTGTCTGCTTTAGACATCCGTTTCCGCAAGTTTTTCATTACTCTCTCTATTTAATTGACTGATTAGGTACCGATTCAGGTTGTACCTTTACCATATTTCTAAGTTAATTTAATTTTTATTTTATATTGTTTGGACCAACCATTAAAAATGGGACGACGTCCTGCTCGATGGTAAGTTATTTTATACATTACATCTTTATTTTCACCATCTTCAACTCTTTCTTTTACCTTAAATTGAATGTTATTTATGTTTCCTGATAGTATTACTCAATTTGACTGAGACCTTGCATCATCTAATGACTTTGTCATCATTAACTAATCGGCTTATATCTTTTCGCTTCTTTTCTCTTTAACAGTTATCGTTATTGCAAAAACAAGCCTTATCCAAAATCACGTTTCTGTCGTGGTGTTCCAGACGCTAAGATTCGTATTTTTGATTTGGGTAGGAAAAAGGCTAAGGTCGATGAGTTTCCACTATGTGTGCATATGGTGTCTAATGAATATGAACAAATTTCATCGGAAGCTCTTGAAGCCGCACGTATCTGTGCTAACAAGTATCTTGTTAAAACCTGTGGTAAAGATGCTTTCCATTTGAGAATTCGTCTACACCCTTTCCACGTTATCAGGTTTGTATTTTAACTGCGTTTTACTTTCACAATGTTACCAAGACTCATTTACTTACTCTTTCCTTCATTTTCTAGGATTAACAAAATGTTATCATGTGCTGGAGCTGATAGGCTTCAAACTGGAATGAGAGGAGCTTTTGGTAAACCTCAAGGTACTGTAGCCCGAGTTTACATTAATCAAGTTATGATGTCTGTTCGAGCTAAAGAAAACCACAAAGACAATGTTATTGAAGCTTTGAGACGTGCTAAATTCAAGTTCCCTGGTCGTCAAAAGATAGTTATCTCCAAAAAATGGGGTTTCACTAAATGGGACACGGGCGAGTATGAAAAACTTCGGGCTAACGGTACACTGAAGCCAGATGGTTTCTATTGTAAATACCGACCCAACAAAGGACCCTTTGAAAACTGGGTCAAAATCCAGAAGGAATTGCGTGGCATCGAAGCCTAAATTATGTAAACTATTCGGAGGAAGACTATGTCCGCTTGTGGAGTAAGAAGCTATTTGTTGAAGAAACCAGTAATAAATAAAGATGTTTCTTATGTGAAATCAAAGTCTCTTTTTATTTGTTTAAACCGATTTATGCATTGTTTTAGATCTAGAGCGACATTGTTCCAATCTAATTTATGTCACTCATTTAAAAAGTTATTGATAGAATCTTGATTAAGCCGGAGAAGAAGATTCAACATGGATGTCAGCTTTTAATAAATATCTAAACAACATTAACTTTTGTACATGAATTAAGCTACTGTTAATGACACGAGTCGATGCTGTTCGACCGATTTCAATCAAAAGAATGATCTAAAGTAATTGATAAGCTGAATCCGAAATTCATCTCCCTTCGGCTTCCAATTCCTTTAATCTTTTCACTAGATGTTGACTTGGTAGTCCTTGGTAATGAGCATTTATCAATGCAGACTCCAACATTGGTCTCTCCAATTCAGGCAATCTTTCAAAAATAGGCTTTTCCAAATCTTCATCTAAATCATTGGCTTCTCTAAAAATCATACAATACACTGCAATTGCCGCTAAACAGAAAGCAAAAACTTTATAATTAGATGGCCAAACTTCATTTTCATCAGGAGGAACAAAATAATTATAAGCTGATTTCCATTCCTTGGCAGCTTTTGATTGAGAGTAGGATATTGTTTTGGGCTTTGCCTCATTCACATCACCAATTCCATTTGAAGTTGTCGTAGTGTTTGACCGTAGAGCACAAATCGCGGGCCTTGATTTGATGAAAAGGTTGAACCATCTATTAATTTTAACAAGCGAACTAACGGTATTCATGTTTATGCTGTTATAGATTCACCAAAGAAAACGCGTAAAACAAATCACATGGTAAGAAGCCAGAAAAAAATAGACAGAGAAAATAACATGTGTAAGTTATACGCAAAAGTAAAACAAACAGATAATATTATTGCAAACAATCTCAAGATCTGGATAGCTGTACAGATATTCCCAGGCTGAGAAAGGTAAGAAAAGGTAAAAAAGGTAAATGGTTATAAGAAGGACAAAGAAAACTGGTTACTGGTTACTGTATACCTGCGCAAAGTAAGAATGCTGTAAGCTGGTCCCTAACTTTTATTAGCACCTAGTCTCGCCTTGCCTGTTCTCTCTTTCTTCTCCATCTTAGCATCTTACTCCATCTTTATTAATGTTTCTTTTGTGTTTTAGTCGTTTTTTTAAAACAATTTTTGTATTTTTATAACCCAAAAGTGCCTTTTTATTTAACATGATCCATGAGACTGTTAGTGAAATATCTGAATGTGATCTGGATTACACAATGAGGACCATTAGAAGACATTCTAAATACAAATTAGTGACAGTGCCTACATGTCCACCTTTACTTCCATCATCATCTTATATAGGATCTTCCAAATTACTGCCATCATATTTTAATAAATTATCAACTTTAACCACAATAACCTCCAAGGTATCACTTAAATTGATAAAACCATGTTTAACTTTTCATACTTTTTTGTGCCTTTTATTGGTCAACTATTATATACAACCAATCCTATGTCAATCTGACCGTGGTAAGTGATTATATAAGCTTTTCTTTTCCAAATTAAAACACTCAATTGTCAAGTTTAGCTAATCAAGTTTTTCCTTCATCATTAAAAAACTCTAAAATTCATATTTCCTTGATTGACATCATTTAAAAGTATCAAACTAAACCAAAAGAACTGATTTGATCAATTTCAATCGTGTTGATCCAGATTTATCCTGTCCAACAGTCTTTAATGTTGATGACATTCTCTGATTAAGTGCTAAAAGTTGAATTAGTTTAAGAGCTAATTATTTGCATTGTATTCGTTGGTCAGACTCAATCGTTAAAGCATGAATTATTGAATTACATGAGTAAAAGTTTTCAAAAGAAATCTCGGCTGAATTAATGAGTTATGGTGAACTATTTTTCACCACAGGTGGCTCTGTATAATGTCATTTTAAACGCAATTTTGTGACAACAAAAGAGTCACGCCTCTCTTAATTTGGCAAATAGGATGAAATAATCAGTAGATGGCGTTTTTATTAAAACTTTTACATGATTGAATAGTTCTTGAAACTTTTGAAAGTCGATCCTTGATTCGTACGAAATCAATGTTTATGTCAATCTTAGATCAAGTGAATAGAGGATGAAACATTTATTTTAAGATCTACATTTGATACTTGATTCATTTTAAATGATGTCTCTTCCATTCTAATGATCCCAAAAGAGATTAACTTCAACTGGTTTTTTACGGCCAGTGTCCCTTCCTTTGTTTTCATTGTCCTGTTTATTGCATAAAGTTGTCTTCATTTTAAATAGCCTGCAATTATTTTAATTTGGTTCACATGGGAGGGTAAAATGTTTAAGTCTTTCTGTTAAGTTTAAGTTTCTCTGCGTAACTCCATAATTAGCCATTTGTATTGTAATAAAGTAAATTGTTTTTCTCAATTTGTCATTTTCATCATTATTATTTATAACAATATTAGATAAAGAGTATCAAATTTTCTTAGAAACACAATAAATTGATGAAGCTTATTGAGAAAAATGAGTTTATGATTGAATGAGAGCTGAAAAGTGAAGCTTTCTGTCGCTAATGAGCAATAAAAATCTAATGACTTTTTCAAATGAATCAAAGTGCTCATTTCAATGTTTGGAATGGAGGATTATGATGACTCTTGAACTCTCATAAAATTTACATTACTACTTTTTTTGCTTCTGAATGACTTGGTTTCGATGTTGGTTTCCCTTTGTCCAATTCCTGTAGTTTACTCGATTCCAATGGCCAATTAAATTTACGATGGTTTATAATCAAAAAATTTCTTTCAAAATTAAAAATTAAATGATTTCTGATGAAAACTACCATTGAACTCGATCAAAGTCAGAGAGTACCTTTTGTAAAAAAATTGATTGATTCTTTTTCTTCAAGGTTTGAAATTGTTAGCTATAATTTTGGTAAAATCAACTTGAAGCACTTTTGCATGGTGCTCTTTATGATCTAATCCAATTATTACGATTGCTAAGCTTGACTGATTTTACTTGTTATTTCCAGTTCAATTATTGAAGTCATTTCTAACGAGCTTTCATTTTTTCTATTCTTGTTTACAGAGACAACAAGTTCTCCATCTGACTCTCGTTCAATTATACGAACTCAAATAAATTATCCTCCTCAAGACGTTAAAGTGATTTTAAGCAATACTGCCGAAATTCAATGTGGTGTAAGACATGAATCTACAATACCATTCACCCTTAAATGGTATTTCAATGATAAAGAAATCTCAAGTAAACCTGCAAGTCGTGTCCAAATATTAAATGATGGAACCTTACGAGTCGAGCAAGCCAGAAATACTGATGTGGGCATTTATACCTGTAGTGTTACATCAATCGCAGGTAATGACTCACGGTCTGCTCGATTAGATTTGGTTGAACTCCCTCATCCACCTACTGATGTCAAATCTGAACTCAATATTCAAGGTGGATTTGTTAATGTTACATGGACACCAAGTTTCAACGGAAACTCACCAATCACAAAGTATATTGTCTACAGCCGGGTTAAATTGAATACAGACAGTGGCTCAGAAACTGAATCTTGGGATGATTTTTCTTATCAAAGTTCAAATATCCAAGGTTGGCGAGTTGCTCAGGCAAACATTTCTGCAAGTCAAAATTTTATCCTCATCCATAATTTAAGGCCTGCAATGACTTATCGTTTTCGGGTGAGCGCAGTAAACTCTGTTGGTGAGGGTCAACCAAGTAGTCCCTCAACTCCTCCAGTTACTCTCCCTGCCCAACCACCCAGTGAAGCTCCTATCGGTGTGGTTGGAGCTGCTCGCTCATCTACAGCCATAATGATTCAATGGCAGCCTCCGTCAGGTGAAGCTCACAATGGTCATCTTCTGGGTTACATAATAAGATACAAATTGGCAAGGTATGCTGAAACACCTTGGTACCATAGAAATGTTACCAATCCAGCTCAACTCTCTTTCCATTTGGATGATTTAATTGTTTGGCAAAACTATGAGATTCAAGTTGCTGCTTACAATGAGATGGGTGTTGGTGCTTTTAGTGACTCCATTTGTATCCGAACTAAAGAGGATAGACCAGCCGCTGCTCCTAGTCAAGTTACTGCTCGAGCATTAAGTTCTAGGGTTATTCAAGTTTCCTGGTTTCCTCCGGACCCCCAATTGATCAATGGAATCAACCAAGGATATAAATTAGCAGCGCGTTTAAAGAATGGAACACTTTTCAAAGAAATGCATGCTGATCCACAACATTTCACTGATCGTCCTCTGTCAAGTAATATTACTGATTTACAGCCCTTCACCGAGTATCTGATAACAGTTCATTGTTATACTAATGCTGGTGATGGACCAGCAAATGATCCACCTATCAATGTTGTTACTGAACAAGATTTGCCTGGTGAAGTTGAAAGCTTCCGGTATTGGGATTTATGGGACAAGACTGTTGATCTTGGCTGGACCCCTCCAGTTCAAAGTAACGGTGAATTGATAGGCTATACGTTAAAACATTATATTGCTGATGCACCTCGTGATCAATGGACTGTGTCCAATTATACAGCTAATACAAATGAAACAAGGATAGGCAATTTAAAGCCTACCACTTTTTACCGGTTTGAGATAAACGCTTGGACTAGAGTTGGACCTGGTCCAGTTAAATCATTAACAATTAAAACTAGTATTCCTCCTGTTCTTCCACACCCGCCAAGTCGACTTGCCATCTCGAATATTGGACCGTTTTCAGTTGTTCTTCAATTTACTCCTGGTTTTAATGGCAATGCTTCAATTAGCAAATGGATTGTCGAAGGTCAATTCTTCAAGTTGAGGAATGCCAATTGGACTCCTATTTACGAATCTGTCAACAACAGTCAACCAAATGCGATCATTGTTAAAAATCTTCGACCTTATACTGAATACCGTTTAAGATTGATACCCTTTAATATTGTTGGCCGAAGTATTGAAGCTTCTGAGCCTTCACCTTCTTTTCAAACTCTTCAAGCACCGCCCGCTCATCCTCCTCTCAATGTTACATTGCGTTCACTCAACGCAACCAGTTTAAGAGTGAGATGGACTCCTTTACCACCAGAGTCTTGGTATGGACAACCTAGAGGTTACAATATTACATGGTTTGAAACTACTGAGGAAAATGAGTTGGAAATGGCTGCTGACCGGAAATTTCACGTATCCGGTGACTATCATTCACATTCTTACACAATTACTGGATTAGAAGAGTTTACTAATTATGCGGTTCAAGTTTTTGCCATTAATGATGTTGGCACAAGTAATGGCAGTCGATTAGTAGCTACACGTACATCTGAAGCCACACCTACAACAGGTCCTAGTAATGTAAAAGTAACAGCTACATCGTCAACAACCATACTTGTTGAATGGTTAGACATCCCTAAAAAGCATCGCAATGGAGTCATCCAAGGTTTCAAGATTAAATATCGAGCTCAACGTCAAGATGAAGTTTCAGAGTTTAAAAAGATTGAACGAAATGAATCTCGCACAGCAACTCTCACTGAACTCAAAAAATATACTCTTTATTCCGTCTCTGTTTGTGCCTTTACACACCTTGGTGATGGTGTTTATAGTCCAAGTTTCTCAGTCCAAACATTACAAGATGTTCCTGGAGCTCCTTCAAATATATCGTTTCCCGATGTAACTCTTAATACAGCTAGAATTTTATGGGATATTCCTGAAGAACCCAATGGAGAAATATTAGCATATAAAGTAACTTACAATTTAAATGTCAGTGACACTTTTTCAGACCGTTCCCATGAACTAGCTTCAACTGATCGAACTTATAAAGTGACTGGACTTCAACCCAATACCTATTATTTGTTTAGCGTTACAGCTCGTACAAAAGAGGGTTGGGGTCAACCAGCCAATGCTTATGTTTATACAACTAATAATCGAGAGCTTCCTTCAAATCCGTCCATGCCACACATAAAATCGTCCCAAATAAGTTCAAGACAAGTCACTTTCACTTGGAAACCTGGTTACGATGGTTTAGCTCCTCTTCGCTATTATACTGTTCAGGTTTCTTCTTCAGGTGGACCATGGATCACAGTTTCTCAAAGAATTGACCCTTCATTAACAATATACACTGTTACTGGTTTAAAACCATTCACTCCTTACCAGTTTCGTATTCGTGCTAGTAATGATATTGGAAATTCTAATTGGAGCCCTGAAAGTCCTTCTATTTTAACATTACCAGCTCCTCCAGATTTTTCCGTGACCGGTGTTACGGTTTCCCCTTATAGCCCAACTGCTGTTTCTGTTAAATGGACACCAATTAAAGAATGGAATGGCGATGAGAAAGGCGCTGGTTACAAAGTTCAATATTGTTTAGTGTCTTCCGTTGTTTCAGCTGTACATTGTCCATCCACTCTTGTTCAAGGTCCAGCAGTCACGGGCGTTTCTATTGATAATCTTGAAAGAGATCATCAATATGAAATCAAAGTTATTCCTTTTAACAGTCAAGGTGAAGGTCCAAGCAGTAAAACCAAGATAGTTTATGTTGGTGATGCAGTTCCTAGTGGACCTCCCCTAGATGTTAAAGCAATTTCACTATCTTCGACTGAAGTTAATGTTACTTGGTCACCTCCTGAAAATGACAAGCAAAATGGACAAATTTTGGGATATAAAATATTTTATTGGCAGTCCAAGTTAAAACCCAATACTACTCTTACTGATGAAGACTCTGAAGATAAACGTGAAAGCATGGAAATTGTACCCAACACCTATTTAGAGCTTTCAGATTTGGAAATGTTTACCAACTATCATATCCAAGTGTCTGCTTTCAATCCTGCTGGTGATGGACCCAGATCAATTGCTGTCTTTGTTCAAACTAAAGAAGATCTTCCCGATATTGTTGGACCTTTAGCGTTCACTGATATTACAATGAGTAGTCTTCGCATTCATTGGGATCCTCCAACCAAATCAAATGGTATCCTAACTGGTTATTATGTTGTCTACGAGACAAATCAAGATGATTTCAGTAAACAGGTGAAACAGACCGTATCCGAAAATCATTTACTAGTTAAGGGTCTTAAAGAAATGATGACTTACAATTTCAAGGTAAGAGCTAAAACCTCTGTTGGAATGGGACCAGAAAGAAGTGGTAATGTGACAACCGGTCCTCAACAAGGATCTCCGCCTCCAGTCACTCATTTCAACTTTTATCAAACCACAAATGCTGTTCGTTTAATCTGGAAAAATCCTGAATATGGAGGCATTATTGGCTATCTTATTGAAGGGCAACGTGTTTCTGCGGATGCTCGTGAATGGTATCCAATACAAGAACTGCGAACTGGACTTATAGATAGTTATGATCTCAGTTTTGCCAATCTCAAAGCATCCTCACAATATACATTCCGTATCATGACAATCAATAAATTTGGTATTAGTATACCAGCTTTACCACCATCAGCAAACAATGCTGGTGTCTTCTCGAATCTCGTTATTACCACTCCATCACAGCTTGAACTTTCCGCTAAGTTGCCATTCTATTTTGAGAACTGGTTCATTACTTCGGCAGCATCAATTTTAGCTCTGATTCTTGTCGTCTTTTTCGCCACAATTTGTGTTTGCAACACTGTATATAAGTACAAGCAAGAAGCCAAGAAAAGAGGATCTCATGATGCACTCAGTGAAAATGAATTTGGACTCGTTGATAACCTTCACAACCCTTATGCCTCTGGTTTTGAATTGCGTCAAAACACTATACGTTCACAAACCTCTCGTCGAAGCACTAATGCTCTTAACTCAATCAACATGGCAGCCGCAAAATGTCCACCTCGTCCTTCACCCGGTTCTATAACTTATTCGGACGAGGAGGTTGACGAGGACACCAAAGATGCTAACTTATATTGCTCTAGTGGTGACAGTGTAACTGAAAAACCAAGTGAATTAAGCAGCAGTGGTCCTGAATCAGATTCTGAGCATGATGATATTTACCATTTTGTTAATCATTATGCCAATGTAAATGATACTTTAAACAAAAATCAGCCCTCATGGAAAAGAGGTGCTGCATCCTATGTTGTACAAACTTCAGCTTCTTCAAGTGGCAGTGGTAGTGGATCAGCCATCCCTAGAAGACCACCACCGCCTGCTCCTGGACCAGCACCGCCAAGTTATAATGCAGCCATTACATCAGAAGATAGTGAATTAGATTGTCCCAGTGTCAACTTAAACGGTGGACGAATCATCATCAATAATATGGCTGGAAGCCGCGCTCCTCTGCCAGGATTCTCATCTTTTGTGTGATTTCACTTTTTGTAACATTTGTCTTAAGTTGAAAAACATTAAGCTTGTAATTTACTCTAATTTATTTTGTAGATATTTTTTACTGCCTCACTCAACGCAACGATACTGCACCACATCAGTTCTCTTTAGATGTTTTATATTTCATCTTTACCAATTTTTTATCCTTTTTTATTCACTTCAACTACCTTTATGGTAAATGTTTTTTTTGTAAATAACAAACTCTTTGTACAATATTTTTAATCATAATTTAAAATTTCATTAAATTATCACTTCAATGACAATTGCAATGTTATATATTAATTACTACCAAAATTCATAATATTTTATGATTTGTAAGATATTAAGCGAAAATACTTTCGATTGAAGAGTTGCGTTCTGATCGAATTGCCTAAATTCAAATTTCGGTGGTTAATGAACTGTTTAAAGTTATCATATTATTGCTATTAAAATTATTGTAATTTCCGATCTGTCTTCGAGTTGGTTTAAGCTGTATTTATCAGGGAAGGTAATAAGTAAAGTAAACCAAAATTAATGTTTTCAATTGCTTATTATAAAAGTGAACTTGATACAATATTGTAATGATAACTGGGAGAATCAAATCTTCATCTGCATCGTTTAACTTTCTTTCCACCAAACTAACGGACTTTTGGAGCACTTTAACCCGCAACGGATCTTTGGAAGGCTACATAACACTCCTGTTCGATAAAGAAAAGAATGGAATTATATTATGATATTATAATAAAATAAAGTAATGTATAAATGTATAATATTTATAATAGTTTGATCAAAACAAAAGGCGAAGAGTTTGATTGAACGCTAGAAAAAGATTAAAAGGTAAAATTGTTGTTGTTCACCATGGAATTGCATGCCAGCGTCTCGATGAACGAAATTGCAAGACTGAACAGTAATTTGAAAAATTATATTCATTATAAGGAGAAGCTGATTATCGATGATGATGCCTGATCGAAAGGATGTTCAAACTCAATCCCTTCACAATTTGTATCTGTCAACATTAAATAAACTATGTTTTGTTATCTTACCCCAAATTTGTTGATTTTGTCACCAGCGGCTTGCTTGTTGCATTTTATTTGCTTGAATAAAAAATTTACAATATTAAGCAACTGAAATATCTTCCATTTTTGTAAATAATAAAATAAAAACAGTCAAATTTGGATAAATACCTCAGTAAACTTGTCTAGACTACCATTCATGTCATTGCAGATTTTGGTAACTTCATCAGCCTTGATCATTGGTAAAATAATTTCACATTTACTAATTGCAGCAAGTTCATCTTTGGACAAGAGTTTTTCCTGCAATAATTCATAAATTTATTTGCATATTAGCATCAATAAGCAAGTTTCGATTGATATTAATTGTACTTACCCTACAATCGCTCGTAGCTTTGATAGCTTTATCAAAATTTCCGTCTTTGATTTCTTTGGTACGCAACGAACACACTTCTTTGAAAGCGTCTACATAGAAAGTACTTTCTTCATTATCAGATGCACTTCGGGCTAATGAAACTGTGGTTATTAACAGAATTAAGGTAAAAGTTTGCTTGATCATGATGATTAACAGAGAAGAATTTTCTTGAACTTTTCTTTGAGAAGAGAAAAAGATAAAACAGAACTTATAATAGTCGAGTTGAAATTTATAAATGTTATTCTGTCTCATCTGCTGAGCTTTATATGCTTCTAAATTTTCTCAGATTGATTTTTATTGATATAAATTATCTGCAGTTGAAGTTAAACTATGAATCAGCAGTTCTATTCATTATAATAGTTCGTAATCGAATCGAATCTTGCTTTTTGAAAAGTGTAACGAAATGCATAGACAAACAAAGATCAAACAACTAAATTTTCAACACTTTTATTTGTTCAGTTGTGCTTCTGGTTGATTAAGTGTTGAGGTTCAGTGTAAATTGTAAATAAATGACAATTAGAAATGTAATTTACTACCAAAATTCAATGCTATCCAAATTATGTCAGGAAACAATTGAACCAGATTTCAATTAACTTGTTCAATTGATTTAATTAATAACTTTTTTTCGGGTTGTTTTATTGAAATAAAATCTACATCTTAATGTTCGCTCGCTATTGATTTTACTTGATCAAAGTTATTATTATGTTTCTTTTTCTGGTTCAAAAGTACCTTGACATTGATTATTTATTTAATTTTAACCAATTGTCTTATTTTATGTCAAGCAAGTACGTACATCAAGATTTATTTTCACAGTCAGCTCTGTTGTTGTTCAAGAAATTGTTGAATTTATTGAAAACAGTTCGATCACTGAATGCATAAAAAACTCTAATTTACTGTTTTTTCTGCTAATTGTGCAAAAGAATTGGTTCAAATATTCTTTCTGGGTTCTATTGCGACTTTTGTGGTTCAAACAGCAAACAAATACAGATCTTACAGAACAAAGTAGTTACATTGTTCAATAACTGTTACATCCAACTCTAATTGTTAAACAATCCATGAGCCCATTTGTTCAAACCATTCCCAGATTAATAAATAAATAGCTTATAATTAGTATAAGACTACAAGAAACATGCTAAATGTGTCTCCGAATCACGAAAAGACTCAAAGACATGTACAAAAGACTTGAAAGCAGCTCTGGAAATAATCTCTGACATTCAATGGGACAAACGTATTTCAACCAGTTGTTGTGCCTTTAAACGTTTCGAGGACTGTGTAACCACCAATCTACGAACCAAATGTGGTGATGAAGCAGTTGAAATTAGCCGTAAATTGGTTCGTCTGGCTGCATCAAGATTACCCGAGATTGTCTGTCAATCTTACAAAGGAGACAAATGTGCGGGTTTACTTCCACCTTCTGGAACTGCGCCGACTGGAGCTAAATCAAATAGTATATTGTCAAGAGTTTTCTCAAAAGTTGATAGTTTGTGTTAATTTATCGTCATTGAATCAACATTGGACCTGGTCCTTTTGAATCATTAAAAATTAAAACTAAGTATTCCTCTGGTTCTTCCACTCCTACCAAGTCGACTTGCCATCTCAAATATTCGACCATTGAATAAAATACTATCTTTAGACTATCTTTATACTATCTTAGACTTTTACAGACTAATTCATTAATTTATTTGAATATTTTCACCAATAACCAAATTAAGCTTGATATAATAAATACTTTACTTACCCTAAAATCGTTCTTAGCTTTGATAGATTTATCAAAAGTTCCTTCTTTTCTTATTTAATTCTTATTTTCTAATAAGCAAATATTTCTTCGAAAGCTAGTTTCTCATCAGATGCATTTTACGATCGTTAGGCAGGCTAAAACGCGGATATTAATAGAATCAATGTAAAAGTTTCAATTTATTGTGATGATGATAAACAGAGAGAAACTTTTCTTTGAGAAGAGACAAAGCTAGAACAGAACTGATTTGACCAATTTCAAATCTCAATGTTTTAATTCGCCTTACCTACTGAGCTTTCAAACCTTCAGCAAATTACTTTTACTCGTTATAAAATATCTACAAGACGCACTTTGAAAATAAGTTATATTCATTAGAATTCGCAATCCATCCGATCGTCTGTTGAAAATTGAAGGACCCGAATTTGCATCAGTTTATTTAATTTGTTTAGCTATGTTTCTAGTTGATTAATTGCAAATATATTTCAATTGTATTAATAAATGACTTCTTTTTCGGGTTATTTTATTGAAATTTTGAACAGCTTTATTTGCGAAGTTTTATTTGCACATTTGGATCAAAGTTATTGTTATGTTGCCTTTTCTGGTTCAAAAGTACATGGAAATTCATTATTATTTTAGTATTTGTTTGGTTTTAATGCATGATGCTGAAGAAAAGAAAGTAAATCAAGCTATGATTCATTTTTACAGTCGATTCTGTTCATTTAAACCAATAAAATTTCTGATTATAAAATAAGAAAACAGTTCGATCACTGAATGGATAATGACGACGTGGCATCTCGAATATTGGACCATTTTCAGTTGTTCTGCAATTTAGTTTGGTTTTAATGGTAGTGCTTCAATTAGCAAATGGATTGTCGTATTCGCAAAACTAGATCGAAGAGCGATTTGAGTCGAAAAAAATATATAAGTTAAAGAGATCAGCGATGATAATGCTTGATCAAACGATATTCAAAATCAAGCCGTTCACATTTTTCATTAGTCAAACTAATAAATGAATGTTTACTTACGAAGTATTTTACGCCCACACTACCAACAGCTTTCTCTTTGCATTCTATGAGCTGGAATAAGTAATTTCTAGCATTAAATAACTGAATTACCTTCGATTATTGTAAACAAGAAAACAAAACAGTCAAATTTTAATAAATACCTCGTCAAACTTGTCTTTATTGCCATTAAAATCACCACAAGTTTCGATAACTTGATCAGCTTCGTTCAACGGTAAAATACGATCGCATTTAGCGATTGCAGCAAGTTCATCTTTGGTCAACACTTTTTCCTGTAATTATTTAGTTTATTTAATTTATTTGAATATTTTCATCAATAAGCAAGTTCCGATTTCTATTATGCAGTCTGACCAACAAAGTTTGTCTGGCTAAACTGTGTCTGTTTGTTTTACTAGACTTGGTCTATTCGACTTTCTTTCAGGCTTTGACTTTGTGATTATAAAAGAAATGTTGTAAAATGAATTGGTACTCTCGAAACCGATTGTTTGAAAGCGAAGCATATTTGGTGACAAACTTTGTTGGCCGAAAATACTTTACTTACCCTACAATCGCTCGACGCTTTTATAATTTTATCAAAAGTTCCTTCTTGTATTTGTTTAGCACGGAGATCACATATTCCTTTGAAAACCTGTTCAATATCAGATGCACTTTGTGCTAACGAAATTACGAATATTAATAGAATTAGAGTAAAAGTTTGCTTTATCATAATGATTACCAGACAAGATTTGAACTTTTCTTCGAGAAGAAAGAGCTTGGAGGACTTGTAATTTTCAAGTTCAAAATGTTAGTTTATCTCATCTGCTAAGCTTTATATGCTTTCAAATTTCAACCAAATTGGTTTTATTCAATATAAATTATTTGAAGTTGAAGATTTACAATGAAAAATAATTTCTATTCATTATAATTGTAATCGAATCGAATCTTGTTTTTAAAAAGTGTAACAAAATACATAGACAAACAAAGATCAAGCAATCTAAATCATCAGTTTTGCTTGTTCAGTTGTGCTTCTGGTTGATTGATTGTTGATAATTAGTGCAAATTGTAAATAGATGACAATTAGAAACTCAATTCCCACCGAATTTTCAATGTAACTAGTATTTGATATAAATTAATTCAATAATTTCCGAAGACAATTGAACCAGATTGCAGTCAACTTATTCAATTGATTCAATTAATGATTTTTTACCGGATTATTTCATCAAAATAAACTTTAACATTGAATTAATTAGCTAATGATTTTACTTGATTAAAGTTAATTTGCACCTTCGGATCAAAGTTATTGTGTTGCCTTTTCTGGTTCAAAAGTACCTTGACATTTTTTTTATTTAGGGTTTTTATGAGTTTATTGATAATTTTAACGAAGAATCGGTTCAAATAGCAACCAAGTCGATTAGTTATCTCGAATATCGGGCTATTTTCAGTTGTTCTTCAGTTTACTCCTGGTAATGGTAATGCTTCAATTAGCAAATGGATTTTCGTATTCGCAAAACTAGATTGAACAGTAATTTCAATGGAAAGAATTATATTAATTAAACCGAAAACCGAATGCTCGATCAAAACGATGTTCAAAAACAACGTTTTGCATTCGCTAAATTAAGCATGTCTTCTTACATAGAATTTTGGGACTGTGCTACCAATATCTTGCTTTATGCATCGCACGAGCTTGAATAAAGAATTTCTAGTATTAGATATCTGAATTATCATATTTTTATCGATTTTTTGTAAACATAAAACAGACAAATGTGGATAAATACCTCAGTAAACTTGCCTTTAATGCCATTGAAATCAGCACAAATTTCGGTAACTTGATCAGCCTCGTTTATCCGTAAAATACGCTCACATTTAGCAATTATAGCAATTTCATCTTTGGTCAACATTTTTTCCTGGTATTATTTAATTTATTTGCATATTTTAATTAACAAGCAAGCTTCGATTGATATTATAAGGTTTATCCTAATACAAAGTTTGTCCCAATCAGTTTTTCAGACATTTTTCGACAATGTCTAGATCATTGACTAGACTTGTTTTGTTAGACATTTATTCAGACTTTATTTTGATTTTTTGGTTACCAAAAAACATACTTGGTGACAGACTTTTTAGGTCGACAATACTTTACTTACCCTACAATCGTTCGTAGCTTTGTTATTTTCATCAAAAGTTCCTTCTTTTATTCGTTGAATACGAAGAGCACAAAAGTCTATGAAAATCTTTCTAATATCAGGTGCACGTTGTGCTAACGAAATTACGAATATTAACAGAAATAGAGTAAAAGTTTTCTGGTTCATAATGATTACCAGAGACAGTTTTCGTTGAAATTTTCTTCGAGAAAAGAAAAAGACAAATATGAACTTATAATGTTCAAGTGCAAATTGCAGTATGTTAGTCTGTTTCAGCTACTAAGCTTAATATGCTTTCAAATCCTCACCGAATTGGTTTTATTTAATATCAATTATCTACAGCTGAAGATTTACTCTGAAAATAAGTTCTATTCATTAGAGTTCGCAATCCATCCGATCGCCTGTTTTCAAAAGTGTAATAAACATCAATTAATCTAAATTTCATTTGCTCAGTTGTGCTTCTGTTTGATTAATTGTCGAGAATCAGGTTATATTGTAAATAAAGATCACGATTGCTATTGAATATTGAATTAATTAGCGTATGATTTTACTTGCTCAAGGTTAATTTGCAACTTCGGATCAAAGTTATTATTGTTTTGTTGCTTTTTCTATGTTCAAAAGTAAATTGAAACCGATTGTTTATGTAGTATTAAAATTGTCCGATTCTATGGACGATAATGCTAAACCAAGCTTTGATTTATTTTAGCAGTCAATTCTGTTTATTTGAACAGTTAAAGTTTAGCAAAACTATCGATAAGTTACGTAAAAGGCAAAATTAAAAGCTACTAGATATTAAGCGAACCATACTATTTATTGTAGAGCTGCGTTTTAGTCTTATGAAATTAATATTTAATGGACTAATTAGAGTTATCACATTATTGCTATTAAAATCATTGTAATTTCCGATCTGCCTTCGAGTTGGTTTAAGCTGTATTTATCAGGGAAGGTAATAAGTAAAGTAAACCAAAATTATTGCTTTCAATTGCTTATTATAAAAGTGAACTTGATACAATATTGTAATGATAACTGGGAGAATCAAATCTTTATTTTCATCGTTTAACTTTCTTTCCACCAAACTAACGGCCTTTTTGAGCACTCGAACCCTCATTATCTTTTTCGAAGGCTAAGAAACACCCCTGTTTGATAAAGAAAAGAAGCGATTCAGTTATTGGAATCATATTATGATATAATAATGTTAGTTGACCCAAACAAAATGTGAAGAGTTTGGTTAGGTACCAGTAAAGGTTTAAAAGTGTAATCGTCGTTATTCAATTGCAAACAATCGCATGCCAATGTCTCGATGTACGAAAATTGCAAAGCTAAATTGATCCATAATTTAAGTCGAAAAATTCTATTCATTCAAGGAAACTCTGATTATCAATAATGATGCTTGATCAAAACAAAGTGTAATATCAATCCGTTCACATTTTGCATTTGTCAAATTACTGAATGAAAGTCTTCTTACCATGAATTTTTCAATCTTGTTACCAACAGCTTTCTTTTCGCATTCTACAAGCTTTAATAAGAAATTTTCAGCATTAAATAGACGAAATATCTTCGATTTTTGTAAATAATAAAATGAAACAGTCAAATGTGGATAAATACCTCAGAATACTTGTCTTTATTGCCATTGAAATCAGCACAAGTTTTGGTAACTTGGTCAGCCTTGGTCATCGGTACAACACTTTCACATTTATCGACTGCAGCAAGTTCATCTTTGGACAATACTTTTTCCTGTAAACATTAGTTTATTTGAATAATTTTCATCAATAAGCAAATTTCTTTAACTTTACTTACCCGACAAACGTTCATAGCTTTGATAGCTTCATCAAAAGTTCCTGCTTTTATCTCTCTAGTACGCCAATTACACATTTCTTTGAAAACCAGTTCGCCATCAGACGCACTTTGGACTAATGTTATCGCGAATAGTAACAGAATCAAGGTAAAAGTTGGCTTAATCATGATGATTACCAGAGAAAACCGATCACGAACCTTTATGCGAAGAGAATAGAAAAAGGAAAATCAGAACTTATAACGTTTAAAGCAAACTTCTAAACGTTAGTCTATTTCATCTGTTAAGCTTTATATACTTTCAAATTCTCAGTAAATGGATTTAATTAATATAAATTATCTACAGTTGAAGATTTAGATTCCGCAATCGAATCGAATCTTGTTTTGAAAAGTGTTACAAAAGTACAGAGACAAAGAGCAATATTTGTTCAGTTGTGCTTCTGGTTGATTCATCGCGATAATCAGTGCAAATTGTAAATAGATGACAATTATCAAATTCAATTCCATCCAAATTTTGAATGTAACTATTATAATATTTTATTTCTTATAAATCAATTCTAACAATCTTTAAAGACAATCGAATCAGTTAACTTATTCATTTGATTTAATTAACCACTTTTTTACCTGGTTATTTTTTAAATAAACTTTGAATCTTTAAGGTTGAATTAACTATTATAGTTATTCATTTTACTTGTTCAAAGTTGCTGTTATGTTGCTTTTTCTGGTTCAAAAGCACCTTGACATTAATATTGGCAATTGTTTGATTTTAATGCATAATGCTAAAGTCAAGAAAGTACATCAAGTTTTGATTTATTTTTACAATCTATTCTGTTTATTTGAATCAATAAAGTTTATTCTTATAAACACTTCAATCACTGAATACACAAAAACGGTTTTATTCTCGTTTTGCGACCAACAAAGTCTTGAGATCGCTTCTAAATATTGCACCAAAGCATTGGTTCAAATGCTCTTTCTGGGTTCTATTGGAACATTTTGTGGTTCAAATAACTGACAACCATCGACCTCTAATTGTTAAACAATACTAGCATTTGTTTAAGCCATTCCCAGATCAATCACTTTTCATTGATTATTGCGCGGAAATTTTCCAATGTAATTGAATGTTTGCTTGATTACAATACATTAATTTCTGTCTGAAGGGGAAAACGCAAGAATCAATGGACAATCAAATGAACAGAAAAAGTGATTCGGAAAAGTAAATGGAAGAAAGTAAGAAATCACAATTAAAAGTTAAATCAGCAAATTACATATTTAGCTTAAAAGACAATATCTCTAATTGAAGGGGATTTCCATTGATTGTTTTAATTATGAAGTTGCCTGGTGGGTTATTTATGGGTGGAAAGGTAAAGGAATGGCTTTGAATAATTTATAATGAATGGTGTCACTCGTTGTTCTGGAAGTTTTTCCTTAAAATTCTGTTCGATTTACTTCTTCAACTCAACTTTCTTACGGTCTTGAAGGAGTTAACTTCAAGTTTAATTGATATAAATAACATTACATTTTCAATATTTTTCATTTTCATTTGATCACTACAGTTTTTGTGTTTGCGACTGTTTACTTTATTCATAAGCAAAAGAAACAAGTACATAAATCAAGTTATCCAACATGAAATTTTTGGTTTTTGCGTTTATTCTCGCCTTCATGTGTAAGTGACAGTTAAGATATGTTTTGATTAACTTGTCTCATCTAAACGAATCTATTATTCACATTTCATCGTTTAGATTATAATTATTATTTTATATCAAACAACTTATTAATCAACTTATTTTCTCATATTTTCAGGCATTGGTCAGATTGAGAGTCAACAATGTCACCTTCGAGAGCTTGATCTTTGCGCTGCAACTTTATTGGTTTTTACCAATAATCCTTCAGGTAAGCATACAATCAATAATCATTGAGTTGGGAAAATTTGGAACTGTCAACAGCAATTTACTTTTATTTTTTAATGAAGTTTTTAACTGTGCTAATTAGTTCTTTATTGGTCTGATCAATTCTTGATTCAACCTTTGCTCAATTTTAAATGTGTCTAGCTAATTGATGTTTACATTTTTTATGTCATTTTGATAGATGCTACTGGAACTGACGAAGAAATTGAGCGACAATGTGGATTTATCCGTGAAGCCGAGGAATGTCACAGAAACTTTACCACCCAATGTGCCACAGAATCTCAGAGAGAATTAATTGAATTCCTTGGAAGTGGAGTTAAAAAAGTTGCTGATGAGTTCTGTACTGCTGGAACCAAATTACGGGAAGACTACAAGAAACATGCTAAATGTGTCTCCGAATCACGAAAAGACTCAAAGACATGTACAAAAGACTTGAAAGCAGCTCTGGAAATAATCTCTGACATTCAATGGGACAAACGTATCTCAACCAGTTGTTGTGCCTTTAAACGTTTCGAGGATTGTGTAACCACCAATCTACGAACCAAATGTGGCGATGAAGCTGTTGAAATTAGCCGTAAATTGGTACGTCTGGCTGCATCAAGATTACCCGAGATTGTCTGTCAATCTTACAAAGGAGACAAATGTACAGGTTTACTTCCACCTTCTGGAACTGCACCGACTGGAGCTAAATCGAATAGTATATTGTCAAGAGTTTTCTCAACTTATGTTGGAAATCAAGACTAAAACGCTAACCAACTTGTACCGCCGATCACTGGGACCAATTCCTATCTTGTAATGTTGTGTGTTACATTATATTTATTTTTTATCCATTCCAGTCAATATTCCCAAAATGAGACTTCATGGGCTCATCACTTTGGCTTATTTTCTCACAGGTTTGATAGTTTGTGTTAATTTACTGTCATTGAATCAACATTGAATTTTAATCTGATGAAGATTCCTCCTGCACCATTCTAGGTTAGACCTCTAACTATCGACAAACTAGTCCCGAACAATAATCCTTGACGAACATCAGTTCTAAACTTGAGCTAACAGACCCAATCAGGTTAAATTTTATTAGCGACCTTAACAAAGTCTCATTTTGGGAATATTGATTGTGATTGTTATTCACAAACAAATCATGTCATCCTTTTTAGTTCCTGAAAATTATTTTCTCCCTTTACATTATTCCCATGTAATAACTTTTGGATAGTGATTCAATTTTAATATTAAATAATTTTTTACCAAAATCTTTAAACCATATTTGGACAGTCGAATGTACCATTTCAGACCGTTTAAGTAACAGCGCATTTTATAATGGAAAGTACATGCAAGTGACTCTTAATTAGAGATCCAATCAGAAGTGCAACTTAAATCAACAGCGTTATTGATTGAAAATGAATGCATGGTAAAAAATCAAGATAAAGATTTACGGAGAAAAATATAGACTAACAAGATAATGATATTCTGTGGCATAGTTCTGTAATAATCTCAATAGATTGTAAAAAAGATTCAGTTAATAATTTGATTTAATGTTTCTAGAAAAGTGAAGGATGGGTGAGAAACGGTAAAAATCTTTCATGATGAACAAATTTTTAATAAGATTGCAATTTATATCCATGCAATGAAAAATGAACCACTAATACAAAAAGTTAACTGATTGATTCACGTTGATTGAATTTTCTCATTTTATTTAAGTGTAATAAAATATTAATTAAAGTTATGAGTACATACAGATGGATTAGATTGGCAAATACAAGAGATATGAGGAAAAATTTCATTGAATAATAAACAAAATGGTCTTAATGTTAATAATATTTTGATAGATTCAATAAGAAAGACAAGAAAATGGACCAAAATCAATTGATATCATTTGTGAATGAGTACTTAGCAGTTTCATCGATAAATTAATTTTTGCTAAACGTCATCTACTATACGTAAGATGCTAAATTACCTCAGTATAGTAGACGGCGTTTATCAAAGACTATCTTATGCTTGAAACTACAGAGTGGATAGAAAGTTTCTGGTGTATGGGAGGAGATAAAATGAGCAAGAAAAGGGCATTCATTATGAAAATTAATTAATATTAGTTTATTGTGCAGCTAAAAGACGTACGCCTACACACCAGAAACTTTCTAGAAACTCTGTAGTGTACTTAATAACCAAAATTTAGTCTTAATGGACTACTTTTTCAAAAATGAAAAGTGGAAGGTTAGCTGGACGTCTTGAAATTCCGAAAACTGCTTCAAAAGATATTTCAGTTCCTGGTTCGACTTTGATACGATATCTTTGTACCATACAAACTAAATATAAAAACAACTCAACATTGGCTAAACCTTCACCAGGACAGTTCCTTTTACCAGCACTGAAAGGTATGAGATAAGGTGGTTTCACTGCTTTAGTACCATCTTCAGTAAGGTAACGAGTTGGATCAAATTTATCTGGATTTGGCCATAAATTAGGATCATGATTAACTGACCAGAAATTGAACATCACCAACGTATCTTTAGGTATGAAGTGATTACCAATTTTGGTATCTTCAGATGCTCTTCTGAGTAAATTATTTGCAATGATTGATTCGATTCGCTGAACTTCATGAATAAACGCCATCGTAAATGGCATTCTTGCTCTATCAGCATAATCTGGTTTTCTTTCAAATCCAATGACATCAGCTATCTCTGAACGTATTTTTTCTTGATATTCTGGGTATTTTACAAGGTATAATATTGCCCATTCCATTGTACTGTACACAGTTTCAGACCCAGCACCAAAAAATGCAGCCGCATTTCGCTTCAGTGTATTAAGGGTGAAAGTATCTTCAGGAATGTTCTGTTTCTCTCGGTTTTTCCTCTCCTCCAAGTAACCATCGATGTAATCGACGACTTCATGATTTTCATTATAATTCTCTCGGTGTCTGTTAACTTCATCTTGAACGAATTCATCGACAATCATGAAATTTTTTTTTATGAGGTGAACATCAAACTTTCCAAGTAAGATTAATACCTTAGTTAACCAAGGAAGAAATGTTAAGATTCCAGCAAATTTGAATAAACGAGTAAAAGAAGCTCGAGCTCGGTCCATTTCGATTTTAACAGGATCATTGTAATCATATTTATGGCCAAATAATAATATCGCAATGTTATTAGAAATTGATGGACCGATTTTTTGACTAAAATCAACAGGTTTACCATCAGTATTCAAAGTTGTTAGAAACTGGTCAATCTCTTCTTTGATCAAAGTTTCAATTTTATTCTTCCCCAAACCAACATCACGCAAAATGTGTAGTGATAAGCGTTTGTGTTGACGCCAAGGATCTCCTGACATTTCAGCAAATGAGCGTTCACTACCAGGAACGAGTGTTTCATATGGTCGAGCAAGTAAGGCATCATTGGAAGTAGCATCTTTCAGATGAGGCCAATCACAAACCAAGACCACATCGAAAGAACCCAATTTTAAACAATAAACTGGTCCAAACTTTTTAGACAATTGGTCAAACTGAAGGTAAACATGATCACCAAGAAAGGGTAAATAACCAACAATAGGAAGACCCCAAGGACCAACTGGTAATGAAAGAGTCCTTTTTATTGTATTAAACAAATACTTTACCAACCTGAAGAGAGTAACTCCAATTAATACGTTCAATAAAGGTTGAGGCAATTGAAAATTAAACAGCGAAAACATAACTTGTTAATAATTGTGAAAAGATTGAAAGCTTGAACGTTGAAATTATGATGAATTTAGCTTACGAAAATCAGGTAAACAACTTTTTAGACTGAGTTTTCAATAACAGATGAAAAAACTGGGAAAACATTGGAATGAAAGGAGAGACTAAAGTGAGTGGTTTATATATGCAGGGAACGTAACTCTCCTCTCATCTCATTCACTCAAGCCCATGTACTCGACCTTGGAGAGATAAATAGGAGTTTCTCTTAGCTTCGATAAGCCCCTGAATGCACTAGTCCTATCTTTGCTATCCCCTCTAAAATAGTCAGATAATGAAAGTAAAATTCTGTTATTCAACCGTTTACTACACAATCTCCCTAAAGCATAATATTTGGAGGCACGATTGTTGATAAAATAGCAAGGTTTGGGTACATGCATTTGTTAATCAATCTCGTGACTAATTGATTAACGTGATTAATTCTAGCAGCTATCTTTTCTCGGAAGGGTTGAATTTTGATTTCTTTATGCTCTTCAGGAGTAATAAATTCACATTTTGCCATCAATGCGGAAGCATCTTCGATATCGACAGGGACATGAATGGGTTTATTTGGTTTAGGTTTTGAATCGATGATATAATTGTTGCAATCGGGAAGAGTTGTAGTGTTGAAAATTTGTTTAGTTTCATCAGGGGTACAAAATCGGAAGTAGAAAGTAGGATCAAGAGGAGGTGAATCTGGGGATTCAGAGCATGTAGTTTCATAGTATTCTCCATTAGATTTTAAATTGAAATAATAAAGATGGATAAAGGCATTTCCAATCAGGCAAACTGGTTCAAATTCTTGAACAATATGCAGGCGAAATACTCGTGCTTCTCTCATAGCTGGATGTTTGACAATAGCGTAGGCAAAGCCTTTGGAATGGACATATTGTTTAGCGGCAATTCCTTTTAGAGTTCTTGTGTAAGGAATAACGTGAGCACCAAGTTCATCAGCAACATTAGCGTCAAGAGCGGATAGAGTAGAACCAGTATCAAGCAATACTCGACCTTCTCGAACTAATTCTCGAGTAGGCTTACAAAGTTTGAAAGTAGCTTGTGGCATATGACACAAATCTGTTTCACCTAATTTGGTTAAAAGCGGAACAGTTGGGACTGAGGAAAGTGACCACATAAGTCCTGGAGTTCTTACTGCATCAGTTTGAGGTTCAGGAGGGAGAGAAGTGGCTAAATTGGAAGATGATGGAGTAGAGTTTGAAGGTGAAGTTGCACTTGGGGGTGCTGTAATTGCTCGGATATTTGGATTAGGAGGGTTATTTGAATTGTTTGATCGGTAATTAGGATTGTTTTGGGGTCGGGTCCTACATTGTTGAAGAGTGTGTCCTGGTTTCTTGCAATAATTACAAATGATAGTGTTTGAATTGGAAGTTTGAGGAGGACGATAAGGTTGAGTACGGTTGGAAGAGGGATTTCTAGAATCAGGTTTTCGTAGATATGTATTGATATTGGAAGTTCGAGGAGTTTGAGAAGGATTGGTTTTATTTTTGTTAAAGTTTTTGTTTTGTTCAGCCTCGAAATGTTTTCTAATTAATAAATTGGTAATTTTAGTAATATCATCGTTGAGTCCTAGAGTGTTAATCTCATGGACAATGTAATGAGGAAGATGATTGAAAAGTTCATGTTTAAAAACTTCATCTGAATAAGTACCTACAGCTTTAGTGAGGGCAGACTTTAACTTTATCAAAAATGTATTAGGATGTTCGGAAAGATTGTATCGAAGTTGTCTCAATTGATATTGTGCAGAATATGTCATTGCAGGAGTTTTCAGGGCACTAATTAAAGCATCTAAATACTCTTTATAGCTAGTGATGTTAGGGTCTAGCGTATTAGCTACGGCTAAAAGCTCATGGGCTAATGATTTCTTGAAACAACGTAATCGAGTACTATCATCAACGTTCTCTTGAGCGAGTCGTTGCTTGGTATTAGTGATAAAGTCGAAAACATCTTCGCCTTTTTTAAATTCAATTACTTGAGGATCTGGTTTCAGGTTTGAAAGAGCATTCAATAGGAATTGGGGATTTACTTGTGGTTCGCTGGATGTAGAAGAAGGTGAAGGATGAAAGAGTGGAGGAGGTTGATTGTTGGGTGGTATTAAGGGAGGATCAATATGAGCACCTAATGAGTTTAAGATATGCATAAACTTTCGCTGAGATTCAATAGGAATGGGTACGGAAATAATATCAGAATAGTTGATACGTAACATCGCTTCGCGATCTCGTCCTAGGGTTCTGATGATGGTCTTAATTTCGTCCTCAGTGAATCCATTATGTCGACACTGAGTCATCCAATCAGGAACAGTAAACGAGGTCACTGTCTCCGTGGGTAGACATTCGATATCGTCATCGGTTAACTGTTCACCAACAAAAAGTAAATGCGTCTTGATACAATCGTAAAGGCGTCTTTTAGCCAAGCAAGGAATAGGAACTATGACGCTCCAACCTTGTAGAGTCTCATTAATAGTTTCAAGAGTCATCTCATATACAATGGGATCATCTGCAGAAACATTGAACTTTCGTCTTCGTTGTACTGTCATATTGCTTAAGTTGAATAGGAGTTTCACAAGAAAATATCACTTGAGTGATGGTTGAATGCGTAAGTAAAGTTGAATAGGTTGATGAAGTTCAGAGTTTAAAGTTGAATAGAAATTATTGAAGAGTTCAGAGAACTGGAATTTTAATTGTTGAATTGAATTGAAGTTAAGTTTTAAAGATGAAATGAAATTGGAAATATTCTTTGAGGAATTGAATTGAATTGTGTTGAAAGTTTTAAAGTTGGAATTGAAATTGTTCAGAGTTCAGAGTTAATTGTAATTGAAAGTTAATTTGAAATTCTTGGAAGAATCGAGGTTGAATTGTGTGAAGTTGAATATTCTTAGAGGAATAATCATGCAAAGACTTGGTTTAATTTTACCTGGAAAGAGCAATAGGAATTGCTTTGAAGAGATTTGGTGATCCTGATTATGAATTGAATTTGTTGAAAAGAAGAGATCATGGAAGATCTGAGTTGAATTGAAATTGAAGAGAGTTCTTAAGAACTGAGAATCAGGCACTAATCTTGATAAAAGGCACGGCGAGTCCGATATTCTAAGGGTGAAGGCAACACAAGGATAACCTTCGAAAGGTTAAATTAAACACAAGGGCGTAGAGCACACAAATGAGTCAGAACAGGCACAGAACTTAGCGATCCTGCCAGAGTCGCCAAGTGAAAGGTTTGTTACGGAAGTAATCTGAGGAAGACTGCTGAACTTGCTTTCACTACAAGTTTTTAGCTCGCATCTAGGATCGCTTTCTTAAGCTATGTACCAATTTTAACTCTATTGCGAGTTCCGTATATCTCACAAGAGATGAAACACAATTCAGAAGAGTCGTTTAGACTTGTTAGAAATACTTAGAAGTATGGATGGAGATGGAAATCTCTGAACACAAAATTAAGTGAATTAACTGTTTGAATTAAACTTTAATATTTCTTAAGAAATGAAATGGAGTTGAACAAAATTAAGATTTTCAATTGAATGTGAAATTAAGCTGAAGGTGACTTACAATGAATGTAAAGTGAAGTTAAAGAATGAAAAATTGGGTTTTTATAACCTCGTTGAAACAAAGGATAATTTTGGAGGGAATAAATGAAGAAAGTAAAGTGATTGTCTTTCGACAATTGTCTGGTTAAGGGTTCATTACTGGTTTTGGTTAAGATATCTTATCTTAATTTAGTATTGTTAAGGCTAGCAGCCTTTTTACCCATTACTGATGTTGAGACATATCTCTTGAGAGATAACTTTACCTTTTACAATGCATTGAGGATTAAAAGTTGAGGTGATGTACAGTTGAAAATTAACCAGAAAAAGAAAGGGATTTTCTAATCTCTTACTTTTTGTCACTTAAAATTCAACTTTAAGTTTTAACTGAATTTAACCATTTTTGTGGTTAAGTTTTACATGGGATTAGAATGGTTTTAACTGAGAGATTTATGAAATTTAAGAATAACCTTTTAGGTTTTAACAATTAAGGAAGAATACAAAAAATGAATAAATATTGTTTAAGCAATGAGTTGAAATGAATTGAAATTAAATCTTATGAAAGATGTGAATTAAGAGAATTGAATCAAGAATCGAAATCATTGAATGATTAAACTAAGTTAAGATTTCTACCCTTCACCATGTAATAACTTTTGGATAGTGATTCAATTTTAATATTAAATAATTTTTTACCAAAATCTTTAAACCATATTTGGACAGTCGAATGTACCATTTCAGACCGTTTAAGTAACAGCGCATTTTATAATGGAAAGTACATGCAAGTGACTCTTAATTAGAGATCCAATCAGAAGTGCAACTTAAATCAACAGCGTTATTGATTGAAAATGAATGCATGGTAAAAAATCAAGATAAAGATTTACGGAGAAAAATATAGACTAACAAGATAATGATATTCTGTGGCATAGTTCTGTAATAATCTCAATAGATTGTAAAAAAGATTCAGTTAATAATTTGATTTAATGTTTCTAGAAAAGTGAAGGATGGGTGAGAAACGGTAAAAATCTTTCATGATGAACAAATTTTTAATAAGATTGCAATTTATATCCATGCAATGAAAAATGAACCACTAATACAAAAAGTTAACTGATTGATTCACGTTGATTGAATTTTCTCATTTTATTTAAGTGTAATAAAATATTAATTAAAGTTATGAGTACATACAGATGGATTAGATTGGCAAATACAAGAGATATGAGGAAAAATTTCATTGAATAATAAACAAAATGGTCTTAATGTTAATAATATTTTGATAGATTCAATAAGAAAGACAAGAAAATGGACCAAAATCAATTGATATCATTTGTGAATGAGTACTTAGCAGTTTCATCGATAAATTAATTTTTGCTAAACGTCATCTACTATACGTAAGATGCTAAATTACCTCAGTATAGTAGACGGCGTTTATCAAAGACTATCTTATGCTTGAAACTACAGAGTGGATAGAAAGTTTCTGGTGTATGGGAGGAGATAAAATGAGCAAGAAAAGGGCATTCATTATGAAAATTAATTAATATTAGTTTATTGTGCAGCTAAAAGACGTACGCCTACACACCAGAAACTTTCTAGAAACTCTGTAGTGTACTTAATAACCAAAATTTAGTCTTAATGGACTACTTTTTCAAAAATGAAAAGTGGAAGGTTAGCTGGACGTCTTGAAATTCCGAAAACTGCTTCAAAAGATATTTCAGTTCCTGGTTCGACTTTGATACGATATCTTTGTACCATACAAACTAAATATAAAAACAACTCAACATTGGCTAAACCTTCACCAGGACAGTTCCTTTTACCAGCACTGAAAGGTATGAGATAAGGTGGTTTCACTGCTTTAGTACCATCTTCAGTAAGGTAACGAGTTGGATCAAATTTATCTGGATTTGGCCATAAATTAGGATCATGATTAACTGACCAGAAATTGAACATCACCAACGTATCTTTAGGTATGAAGTGATTACCAATTTTGGTATCTTCAGATGCTCTTCTGAGTAAATTATTTGCAATGATTGATTCGATTCGCTGAACTTCATGAATAAACGCCATCGTAAATGGCATTCTTGCTCTATCAGCATAATCTGGTTTTCTTTCAAATCCAATGACATCAGCTATCTCTGAACGTATTTTTTCTTGATATTCTGGGTATTTTACAAGGTATAATATTGCCCATTCCATTGTACTGTACACAGTTTCAGACCCAGCACCAAAAAATGCAGCCGCATTTCGCTTCAGTGTATTAAGGGTGAAAGTATCTTCAGGAATGTTCTGTTTCTCTCGGTTTTTCCTCTCCTCCAAGTAACCATCGATGTAATCGACGACTTCATGATTTTCATTATAATTCTCTCGGTGTCTGTTAACTTCATCTTGAACGAATTCATCGACAATCATGAAATTTTTTTTTATGAGGTGAACATCAAACTTTCCAAGTAAGATTAATACCTTAGTTAACCAAGGAAGAAATGTTAAGATTCCAGCAAATTTGAATAAACGAGTAAAAGAAGCTCGAGCTCGGTCCATTTCGATTTTAACAGGATCATTGTAATCATATTTATGGCCAAATAATAATATCGCAATGT